GGGGGGGGGGCGGCGGCACGGAGCTACCGGGACACCGGGCTACCGGTGCCGGGGTCCGGTAGGGGGCTACCGGTAGGGCATGCCGAGTGCCAACGTACGTAATAATCTGAGAAAAATGTTTCTTTCCCAAGGTTTTCAACTTGCACAGCCACAGAGACTGCAATTATATAGCTGTGTATATATATTTATGGGACGTGCGGTCATCCTCACAAGACAAAACATACGATGACATATTATTATTTGTCCGCCGATCTTTATGTATGACTAATTGCGATCATTTTAATTGTCAAAATCAGCACGAAGAAGAGAGGTGGGAGGAGCCCGCCGCCTCCCTAGCGTTTTCCGCCGCACCGCCTCTGACTTCTTCGCTCCGTTTTCAATGCCCGGACCTTACAGCTTTCTGCTGTTGCCATGGCTACAGTGCAACAGCAGTACGGAGAGCAACGGAGTCCAAAAAGGTCCGAACCAAAACGCCTATTTCCTCGTTCACACAGGAAGTCTCTCTTTTATAACGGCGGCGCATTGATTTCTCCCCACAACAATAAAAGAGACGCGCTTTCAGGAGATCATTGAGGCGTTAGAGAAGCAAACGGCTGGTGAAAAACCCCTGGGTTGTGAAGAGAAGCGGCTGGTGGCGATGCTTTCGGACGCAGGTCGGTGTTCGCTACATGCTACAAGCTAAAGTGGGAGGCTGACATTTGTTTGGCTCATTTAAAGAGCTGGGTAATGTGAACGTGTCTCCACCTGTGCCGTGTTTACAAATGGATTCCCCCTTCTTTGGTCAAAGTATGCGTACATATACGCTCACGTGTCATAAAAAGCCTTAAGCAGTGACGAAAAAGGCCTTTTTTTAACAGGAGTTCTTTGTTCTGGCTTCTGTAAAACACACACGGCTTGTTTTTGTTAGCACAGATTATTCCGGGAGCGCCTCCGGTGCCCGGAGAGCCAAGAGAAGGAGCTCCGGGGAGTCACCGGGGGACAGCCAGGGCCTGCGCTCCTCGGGGAGGCAGATCAACGTCCGGGTGAAGCGCACCAACAATCCGCCACCTGGACAGGTGCGCTGCGGAGTCCAATTTTATCCGTGTCATCAAACGCACCACAAAACATGTGTTTTAATCCCAGTAACCACTGTGAGCCTCGTGGTCATAATTCTGACACATTTTAGGGTTTCTGCATCAGACAGCACACCCCTTTATAGATGGATTTAAAGTCACAGACCCACTCAGGTAATTTTTGCTGGATTTCTTCCACTATCTGTCTGCTGGAGAGAGTTTTTAGGCCCAACTCTTCTTCCTTTGAACATGAAGCTAATTGGGCACAACACTGGCTCACCCTTGAGTTAGGGGCCTGGATGATTAATAGTTAAGAAATTAAACCAAATACATTTTTTTCCATCTACAAGGTAAATGCTTATGAGGAAAACAAAACATTGCAGAAACCCAGATGAACCCTGAAATTACTGGATATTTTTAAGACTGCTGGCTGTTTACTTACATCTACTTCCTCTGGTCATTTAAATATTCTTTTCTGGGTCACAGAGCAAAAGAAAGGCCACAGACACAGAAGAAGAAGACGAACAGTCGGAGAAGAAGTACAGAAAATGTGAGAAGGCAGGCTGCTCCGCCGTGTAGCCCGTCTGCTTTGCAAGTGCATCAGAAAGGTATTCTGGGAGGAATGGGCCTGGTCCGCCGCCCGCTGCGATGGCCATTAATGCCGGCGCCTGTTGTCTCCCCAGGTGTGCAAAAAACGGTTACACGTCTCGCTGGTATCACCTGTCGTGCGGCGAGCACTTTTGCAATGAGTGCTTTGACCACTACTACAGAAGGTAGAGGGAAAGCGGCGCGGCTTGTGTTTGGGGTGTCAGGAATGAGACAGTAACGCTGCCCATTTCTGACCCCCCCCCCCCCCCCCCCCGACAGTCACAAAGACGGCTATGAGACCTTTGCCTCCTGGAAGAAGGTGTGGACCAGCAATGGAAAGAGCGAACCCAGCCTTAAGGCCTTCATGGCAGACCAGCTGCTGCCCTTCTGGGTGCGTGCCGGAGGTTTCCCTCACAAAGCCGAGTTGCATCACATCAAAGTTCAGTTCAGGCAGCTGGACGTGAAGTTTTCTAGAAGACGTTTGGCCTCTCATCCAAGAAGCTTCCTCAGTTTTAACAGATGGTGGAGCTCTAAGGTTAATATACTGTAGGTGGAACTAAAGAATTATGGGAAAAGCGAAGGTGACAGGACTCAGCTGCTCACCTGAAGGCTGAAGGACACTCGTTTGAGGAGGACAACATCCACATTCTGGCCCAGGAAGACAGCTGGTTTGAAAGAGGGGTCCAGGAAGCCATCTTTGTTAACCTGGAGAAACCATGACTCACCTGAGGTGCTGGTCTCAGACAGAAGCTGTCATCTCCTTCCAGAACACTTTCAGGAACAACAACCAGCAGATTCAGCTCTCAAATATGTGACCCGAACCACTCTGACAGGGAGTTACCGACCCATCAGAGCCCCCTAACCACCATGAACCCCCCAGGTGACCTCCATGGCCCCCCAGCAGGAGGGACCAGAGCCACATTTTCCCCTAATTCTTTAGTTCCACCTACAGTATATTAACTTCAGAGCTTCACAATCAGTTAGAGCTGAAAAAGCTTCTGGATCAGAGGAAAACTTGACCTCCAGCTGCCTGAATGTGACTTTTCAAGCTTGACCTGCAGGACTGAGGATCTTCAGATATGTTATCCCTGCTGACTTGCTCCCTTCAGGTTCAGTGCACCAAGCCGGACTGCAGGAAGTGGCGTCAGCTGACCAAGGACATCCAGCTCACCGCCTCACTGGCAGCAACGTATCGCTGCGGGATGAAGCTCGGCAACGTCAAGGTGAGCAGGAAGAAAACCCCTAAAAAGCGTCCGCTTTCTGCTTGCTTCTGAGCATTCCTGTTAAAACCCCGTCTGTCTGTTTGTCTGCCTGCAGAGCGAGGGACCCGACCACTGCTCCCAGCCAGAGGACTCGGTGAGCTTTCCTGTCATTGCTGAGCTTAATTGGCAATACAGTAGAACCTCTACATACAAATTTAACTCTTTCCAGAACCTACTTTGTATGTTAAAATATTTGTATGTTGGTTCAAATATTCCCATCAGAATACACTGTAATTCCTATAATTCGTTCCACAGAGGCTAAAGAACGGAAGTAGAGGTGGAGACTGAGATACAGGACATACCATAACTTAAGTAGAGGTTCTGCATTATACAGCCAGCAGAGTTAATTTTATTCTCTCATTTCCTTTGTCACTAGCTGGTTGAGGTAGTTTGGGTTGAGCAGCCAGCTGGACCTCTTCTTCTTCTTGGATCCTAAAGGCGTTTCTCCTCTCATCCTGAATGCTTCTTAAAGGGGGAGTCGGCTTAAAGCAGCTAAATGAAACTAATGTACTGAGCAGTTGTTTAAAGTGATAAATTATAGCAGCAGAAATGGAAAAACACAACAGATAAGTAATACAATGAATAAGTGAGAAGTGTTTTTTCTCGTTCAAACGTCCGGCTGGGACAGCTGGTGGGAGTCTTTGGGTGTACACGCACCCACAGCCTGGAGGTGGAGGGTTGTGATGAGCCAGTTTGTGTTTGAATGGCCGATGTGAGCCGAAAAGTTCCTGTAAACATGTTGAGGCTCCCATCCCTCAGGTTCAGGCTTAATCATTCCCTGTTAGCCACAGAGCTGATGCGTCTTCACCCAGGCATGGTCCGCAGCCAGTTTCTCTATAGAAACCATCTTTCTGGATGAGGGATGAGCTGTATTCAGGTTCCCAGAAGCAGTCCAGCTGCCTTGGCTCCGGCTCTGCTCGCCTGCATGGCGAGCAGAGCCTCCCCTGATCTGCTTCCTGTGTCGTCCCCGCAGAGAGACTCTTTTTTTTTTTAAAAACACCCCACCGGAAATGTTTTTTATTCATCTGGGAGCAAAAGGCCCAGGGATATCTAAAATAAGATCTCTCCATTGAATAAAGGAAAGAACATGTGTTTTTTAGCCGTGCAGAGGACACAGTCAGAATATCTGGAAGGCAGCATTATTGGCTTCACTGAGACGTGGCTGGAGGAATTAATGGAACGCATTTCTATTTGTAATAAGAGAGGCAAAGACAGATGCTGAACAGCTGATTCTGAGCTTCTCATATTGTGTCTACTCTGGCAGTTCACTTCTGTTTTCTGCCAACGCTGTGCGTGACATCAGCTTAGTAGTTGCCAAGCTACAAAAACAACACCTCACTCCATTTATGGCATATATGTGAATCTAAGATTTTCTGCCACTATTCTTTCTCGACTATTCTTTGATCTTTATTTTTCCATTAACCTATAACAGCAATATCAGCACCTTTGTTCAAATGCATTGAACTGCAGTGCTTCTCAGCTTTAATGTGAAAGGGCTGTATTTTTATGATTGGAATTTATGACAGCTTTCATCTAATTCTAGAGTTCCTGTCTATTTGGTGCTATTTGTTTGTAAAAGGTAATAAATTGAGAGAATTTCAGTTTCTATTGTAAGTCTCAGTCATTCTAACATCCTTACATGTATTACTGCGTTTATTGCAGAGGGCAATAGAACTGTGTCCCAAGACTAAATTCAGTTCCATCAGAAGCAATCATACTGATTTCTTTACAATTATAACATGATGAAACGGTGAACACAGGAAGGCTATGTTGTAGTAAATGTTTATACCACAGAAGAATATTTCAAATAAACTTAATATAATGTATACTTCTTCCTAGTTGTTTGAGATTTAGCTGCAAATTATGCATTTTGTTCATTCAGGGAGTACATTAAACATCCAAAACAACCCCAAACATAAAATTGTTTTAATTCAAGTATTAAAATGTAAAGCACATTATTTTGAATATCAACAAAGTACGAATAAACACAATTAGAAAAGCAAAACTTAGTTTTTCAGAACAATCAATTTGTAGCATGTGGAATCCCTCCAACAACACGACCTACTGGCTCCTCCTCACTCGTGTAATGCATAGATGTTTGCACAGTAGCTTTAGGAAATTACAATCCCATGTCCCAAACACACCTGTTTGTTACCTAACTAAAATACAAAGGGGAAGAGGACATGACAAATGTCTTTTGATGCATGAACGTGACCATTCAGATCAATGATAAATTTAGTCAAGCGGGTTACTGCACTTTCACACATAAAGGTTTCACTTCCTGGGGCCTTTTTTAGGATTACAAGAATAAGAATGTTTATGAAAGAGAGGGCGATTTAATAACACATTTATATACATTTTTAGGAGCCATTTGTTTGTACTAAAAACCAGTTTGGCGGAGTGGTGATAACCTAAGAAGCAACACCAACATATACCTTTAACACCTTACCTTTCCTCAGAGGGATCATGCTTGATTTTATCAAAAATTAATAGAAGAAAGGCACAACAAAATGAGATCAATATCCCACCCTAAATCTAATTGTTCCCGCAAAGTTGTTTATCTTTTTTGCCTTTTCTTTTAGCATCATTGTGGGTTATCTATTTAGATGAACAAATTTACAACTGTTAGCTCATTTCAAAGGAGAAGACTAAAAGGCAAATCTTTCGGCTTTATGGGGCCTGAGGCATAGATTTTTAAAGAGCTTTGTGACTTTGATTTGGTTTGAATGTTCTATATGCCCTTCGTATTTGACATCGTCGGAAATCTGCTAATAAGCGGAGCACATCACTTACAAGTGAGGTATTGGTCTCAACAACTAAGAGACTTCTTGAAATTACAGTAGTGGCATGGAAAACCCAGTGGAAACCCAGTCCTAATGCATGCCAAAAGGTTCTGCAATCAGACATAATTTATCCAAGTAAAGCATTGTTTGGGATAAGATTCCTGCAAAAATGAAACCTTCTAGGTCACTGACATCAGGCTGTAAGAAGCAAATAGCTCATGGTTGGACAAATTTGAGCAGCCTTCAGAGAGGGGAAGCAAATTCATCCCTCTTGTTTCACCCAAAAAACAAACTTCTGTACCAAAGTGCCAGTGAGTGCTTTAGATTGCATTAACTTCATAACATTTAGTCTATTCATAAAAGCAGAGCTACTCTGCTGTATGAGCTAAGTACAATCCTTATATTGTAATAACAATAAAAATTGCTTGACAAACTTTACTGGGGGGGGGCAACACCAAGGATATGTGCTTATTAGAATTAACGTAACCCAGAAAATATGATATGAACATTAAGAAAACATAAACTTCATGACATTAAACTTAAATTTCCTAAATGATATATAAGTACTATGAAGTCCAAAACACCACAATGCTCTTAATAAGTGCATCAGATATCAGGCCTATCGCCAGCTGTGACAGCTTGAGGATTTCTTATATAGGAATGCACTGCACTCAAGGTATTTCTTCCACGTGTAGAACTGGGGTAGGCTGGACTCTGCGAGAACATAAACAAGCAGAACAACTGTTGTGGGAGATACGGGCTCTGCTGCAGCATTAGACATCTGTCTGGTGAGGTCTTTGTCTTCAGCCTTTTCTTAAGTGGCGGGCAGTCACAGAACACAGCCTGGAGCAGAGTCCTGTCCAAAGCAGGGGCCTTCACAAAGCCCAACAAAGTCTCGGAAGAATCGGCTATTTCCATGTTGTCAGTCCGCAGTGATGCCTTTCTCTCTGAGTTCCTCTGTCACTCGCACCAGGTAGGTGGGGTCTGGGTAGCCAAAGCTGCAAGGAGAAATACAAAAGGCAAGTTTATTTGTACAGCACATTTTGTGTACAAGACAATTCAAAGTGCTTCGCAAAGAATTTAAAAGAAGAAAAATAAGAAAAAGAATCAACAATTAGAAAAATTAGAGAAAAATTGAAGGGTGCAGATAAAATACATTCAATTTTCATATGCACAGTTAAACGGAAGCATTTTTAGGCTGGATTTAAACATTGTCAGAGTTGGAGCCTGTCTCACGTCTTCAGGAGGACTGTTCCAGATACAAAAGGTATCAAACACGTGTTTAACTCAGGACAATTGTGTCCTCTTGCGATGGACATCAACCGCTCGCATCTTCTTATCAGGAAACCGTGATTAACAGGATAGTTTTTACGCAGACCTTTTCCTATCTGCCACATTTCGGAAAACCAAAGCTCACTTCGGCATCCAGCTGACAGGCGACGCTTACCAGCGTGGCCCGCCCCATATTGAGGTCTTGTGGTGAATGTCATTCCAGGTGATGACGTTTTGCATGCCCGTAGTCATGGAGGTACCGATGGTGAAAATAAGGCGCTGCTCAAATGCCCGGCGCAGCAGGCCCAGCACACGGTTCCCCTCAGGGCTGTCAGGGAGGTAGGCCACACGGTCTGTTCCTGGGTATCGAACACCTGGGTTGGGGTGTTCTAGCTGTGGGAAACAGAAGTTTTAAAGGACAACAAATGACAATGTTTCTCAATCCTTTATTGGCCCAGATAACTTTTGTATCATAAAAAGTTTTTAGGCTGCGCAATATAAACGCAAGACTTAGTTTCCCTCAATATCAAAGCACATTTGAATCCACTATAGGTTCTGTCTTCAGCAGCAGAGCAAAGCTAAGGGACCAACACCCGCAACAGCGAAAGAGAGGCCTTCACCTAAGATTGTCCCAGTCTTTTTTTAGAGCCCCATTGGGCCGTTACATACTATAAGAGGACGGTGTTCATTTTCCAAGCTTCAAGAAACATCAGTGCAGAAGGAATGGTGAACCATGCCAGTACCCCTAAAGCAATTCACACCTGAATGAGGTCAGTCCAATAGGAGCCACTGTTAAGACCTCTATTCAGAAAAATAACTAAGAATACCAAGGGCTGGAGGTTTGAAGACTGTTTTAAGGAAGCAATGGTTCCTTTTTTTTATATATGGAGAAATTGCAAAAACATCTGTATTAGACAGCATCCAACAAATAACACTGTTATCTCTTAGAAGGAGTGCAGAGGTTTGTTGTACCCAGAAATAACACCTGAGCTTTAGTGTCAGTATGCATTGGTAGCCCTTCATCATGCTACTCACCGTCTGTTGGCCGGGAGGGAAGCTGTAGATGATGTGGATACACCCGTAGCCTTCATGGCCAGGAAGCTGCAGATCAGGATCTCTCTCTACGATCATGGAACCATTGGCGGGTTGGTTCCCAATCAGCTGGCCATACACCAGTCGGCACACAGGACACGCTTTCTTCACCTTAAAGGCTTGATCGAGGCAAGAGCGACAGAACGAGTGGCCGCATTTCTCCAGGGTATTCCTCTCCACTATGTCCCCGATGCAGATGGAACAAGTGTTGCTGTCCTCGGCCTCACTGTGGGAAGCCATGCCAGAGTCCGTGTCCTTCCTCTGGGCTGCCTCGTGGAGCACAGCACATGCCTCCTCATCGGCAGGCTTCCTGAACCTCTGCTGCTGCCTTTGGGAGCGCCGAGGTTGTGGAGGTGGAGGCTGAAGAAGGCTCCCCTCTCCGTTATGCTCCAGGGCTCCCACACAAGGTAGCAGAGCCCTCTTCCTCTTGGGTCCTCCGTCCTGTTTGCTCATTTCTTTGCGGGCACAGCGGCATAAGTCAATGAAGGCTTTTCGCGTCTCGCTAGAGATGGGTCCATCCATCACTCCAGCTCCAGCGCACCTCGAGCCTTCCACCGGCTGCAGTCGCACAGCGCAGCAGCCCCCCCTCTCTCCTCGCCTAATAATGCCGGCGCGCATCCCCTGCTTGTGCTGGAAGTCAATGAGCCAGGGCCGCCCAGCTGCAGCCAGGTAATCCCACACCGCCTGAGAAACCAGTACCTCATCACTGCCCTGGCCAGCACGCACACTCATTTCATCAGAGGAGACTGCACAGAGACACACAGAAAAAAGTCATCTCAGTTTGATAAAAATAAAGAGTTCCAAAAACCATTTGCACAAGGATAGCTTTGCATGGATGTAAATCCTCTTAAATAAATGGACACTGTAATGCACTAGCCCACTTGGACTTTTCCATATGCACTATGGGGGGGACAATGCTAGCTTTGAGTCAGACAAAGCTGCTTCAGTTTGACTTCAATTCAGAAGTGGTGTACGTATCAGCTCAGTGAAATGACAAGAAAATGATGATTTCACTTCCATCTGCAGAGTATCTACACAGGACAAAGTAAGCCTAATCTCTTTGGACAGGACAGAGATTTGCAGTGTCCATGGCGAATCAGAGAATAGCAGCACAGGGTGAGGACGGATCAGCTGTTGAGAAATTCAGACTGTAAACAAAGGAAAGTAAACCCCTTGACAGGCTAAAAAAATAAAAAAAAAAACTAAACAAAAACAAAACAGGAAAGCACCAACAGTCAAACACCACACAAAAAGATGACAGTTACCGTAGCGGAAAGGTTACCTTGTGATCCCATAAATTCCTTCAATTGCGAAAAAAAAGCACCCTGCGGAGCAGAAAAAGAGAGGAAAACCAACTCAGGGAGCGGAGCAGGCGTTATGACGGTTGTTTACACTCAGCCATTCTCCGCTGCGGCGACGGGAAACGAGGCGACTTCGCAACATTAGCTTGGCCTTTTCTTGCAACATTTAGCATGAATGCATTTCCCGGACCGAAGACTTCGACAGCTCACCCTTCTCTGTGGCGTTTGGCCGCCTGTCAGGGAGCTCTCTGGCCGGATTAAAGAGGAACGAGCTCCATCTGCGGAGGCCTTTATTCCCGACGTGCTGCCGCAGTTTATCGGCGGCTAATAAGACTTTCGTGGTCAAGGCATGATATCCAAACGTACGGCCGACTCCGGTTGTTGTATGCTTTCAGGAGCCCTTCCCTGCCTCCCGTAAATGCCATTCAGACCCCCCACCTCCCCTCGTCAGTCTCTCCAGCGTTTGCCTTCCTACGTCCTTGAGCAGTGAGCGTAACCCGAAGTGGGGAGGTAAAAAAAAAAAAAAAAAAAAGCATTAGTTGTCACTCTTCGTCTTATCTGACACGTCCACGCGAGCCGCGGGGCCGCTTTGTACAGGCGGATCCTCTGCTCTTCCTCTTCATTTCACTTCTTTGTTTTTTGGGCACGTAAACGCGTCATTTCTGCTAAAAGTCCGTGGGCAAATTCAGGTTTTAATTCAGATGGAAGTGGGGGACTGGGACTGGGACTGGGGGCATGTCAGAGGGAAATGTGACCAGGAAGTTCGTCACCAGCTGATATGACTGACAAATGGGTGGTTTTTACTGTGAGATGCTGATGAATCATGTTTTTGTCGTGATTATTATTAGTTATTATGGTATCTAGCGCTAAAAGTCCACACAGGAGTGCAGCCCACACGCCATCCAGGGAATACCCACTCCTGTTGGAGGGCTTTTCATGTGGGCACCCTCAGTCTTCGTTTTTTTATGTTGTTGCAAAAAGCCACTATAAAAACGAATAGATAAGAATATGAATTCACAGTGGATACAGCAGTCATGGCACACAGTTAAAAGTAGTCGGATTACTTGTGATCATTTCTAAAGGTACGGATATTTAATTTGTTTTCCAACACTTGTCTTTAAATTGAATCGTGTTGAAATGTACTGAAATGTATAATACCAACCATGTACTTACAAATTGTCTGTTTTCTGTCTTATATGTTGCAAAGAAATGTGAATATTCAAATTAAATTAAAGTTTTTAATTTAATCTATTCATATTCATGAAAATCTCAAATCACCTTTAAGATTAAAATGAATATTGTATGACATTGTAAGCATACTTTCTAATGACATGTATATATTCAAATGTGAAAATATTGGCATATATTTACTAGTATACCTGTACCATTTTAATTTTAAACCTTTAGATGTGAGTGTAATCTTTAATTAGTAACAAAAAATAAAAGTTGTCATGGCACTGCAACCTAAATATGGCTTTTCCCCTGTGACTGATAGAAGGCTTTCTTTAAAAGGGGCTAATGAATGAGTCATAAGATGCCTTGAAACAACAAGGTTTGAATACCGTGTGAAGAGTCTACTATTCTAAAGATGATTAAATGGGATAATTTCTTTAGTTATAAATGGCTGATAAAAAGGGTTTGATGCCAGCAAGTGGTTCAATTTGGTCTATATTAGAAACAATCGTAAGATTTTTATGAAAAACAGGTCTGTGAATAAGAGTCTTGCATAAGGTTTTAGTATGACCATTAAAGCCCACCTTATGGCAGACAGAAACCCAGATCTTTCACCTTTCTTCTCCACTTTGCTTTCCTTCTCTGAACTTATTCCCACAAGCTGTCAAAGTGAACTGTGCTGTTTTGTTTAGTGCACTGCCTACAGTCATTTTTTTGACCGTTGCTAAAATGCAGGCTGATAGGTAAGCTGTTTTTCCAAAGAAACGCTTCTGACGAAGAAAAAAACAATGCGGTTTGGTCGTCATTTTTGCCTTGCATGGCTTCTGTCATACCACCTCATCATTCTCCCTTATTTACCGGTTTGTTCAAGTGACTATTGTGATGTAACTGTGGTACTAACTCCTAACAGATAATTGGTTCCTGATTGAAAACCCAGCAGAATATACAGTATATAGTTTGCATGCACTTCCCATGTTTGCGTAATTTTTTAAAGTGCTTATTCTAAATAGTCTCTGGGGGTGAGTATTTCCCCTGCCTCTAGCCCAGAGCCAAATGTCACAGGGTCATCCCCATCACGCTGTGTCCCGTGGTCCTATCATCCTCTGTATCATGCCATCAGATAATACATTTCCTAATATCATGACAATGAGAACTTCAGCTGAAAGTGATTTATATTATCCCAGACAACCAAACTGTGCAATAAATCATCCACAAAAAATGCACTGAATAAATCCATGTCAGGACATAAATACTGTGTCCTGTCCTGCATCCTACTGGTGGTGGAGCTGTTGCACTGCTCTTACACACTCTTCTAGAATGATCTCACAAAGCCCACGTTTCCAAGCAGGCGGGCAAAACGACAAGTCACAAGGGAGCCTGGAAAACACGCGATGTTTGGAGACCCACCAGCACCGCTGTTGTAAACCCTTGAGTTAACTGTTTAGGTGTCAGACTCAGTGATCATCTTTGCCGGGCTGCATTGCTAGATAACACAATTATTTGTATCGTGATACGACGAAGGAGTTTTATTTCTAAAACGTTTAAGATGTAAGTCTTTATTTAACTGTGCAGCTACTGTCGTGGTTAATTGGCTACATGTCCTGCAAGCGCTTTAAAGGGGATCAACTAGCTAACATAAGCTAACCCAAATAGCACACGAGTTAGCCTCACTTGCCCAGTTGTGTCCAACGTTATTGAACTGAAATTAAGCGAGCAACGTAAAATTTACCCATAAATAACTTCCGCCACCTTGATATATTGTGGCTCTATGAGTTGTCGTTTCTTAATGTTGTCTTGTTTTTTCTTGGCTTTATTAAAACAGTTCAGCTGTCGTTAGCTTAAAGGCTAATGTCAACTGACATGACTAGGGTAAAGTTAGCATAGAAAAGCATGGTGTCATTCTAATATGACTTTATTTTATGTTGACGTTTGGAAACTCCTAACCAAAGCCGGCCAAACTCATGTCTTCAGTTTTATTCCCGTTTGAGCAAACATAAAGATCTAAATGACTGTAGTATTGCAACACTCCCTCTTTCTATGATTAAGCAAACCTTTCACTGCTCCAACTACTATGTAATTTACAGGTGGCGGTAAAACCAGTTAGAAACCTTATATCAGGGTTTTCTTGGAGGAAAAAACGGTTATATCCTTTATGCAAATTCATGTTTTCACGTTACCCATGTTGCTCTATAAACAGAAGCTACCCTCATAAAAACTCTGGACATATAAGCGGACCAGTAGAGCAGACATGTGCCATACCAGAGACATGGCCTGACACTCAATGAAACATGAATAGTTGTTCCTTGTGTTCCAGTGCCATTTATCTTTGTTTTTTCTGCTTCTTCTCATCAGGCAGCCTGCAACAGCTAAGTGGTATGACAGAAGGGATTCTGTTTTTGTAGATTTCTGCGTGGAGGACAGTAAAGATGTGCAAGTAAAATTTGAAAAGTCAAAAATGCATTTTAGGTAAGTTTCTGGGAGAGTATAATGAATTAAAGTTTTATGGTTCAGTCAACAGAAAATAGGAACTAAATAGTATATGTTGTAAAAGGGGTCAATAGCCTGTGGTTTAGGTTTATTTCCGTTCAGTGCCATCAAGTAAGTGTGTGCAACCTGGGAGCAAAAAGCCACGTCATTCCCCGTCGGTTTGACAACCAAGCTCACTATAATCTGTATGGTTAAAGCTAAATTGTGAAATGATTTCTGACTTTAAAGAGGACATCATCACAAAGAAGAGCTGCTGTTTCATTACACATTCAAAAAGCCAGTATCAAAAGTTCCGCTGAATCAAATTGCATTTCATTTTGAAGGAATGTCATTATTTTGTTCATCAGCTTGTTTCACATTTCATTCTGCAGTTGTGTTAGTGGAACAGACAACATCAAACACCAGAATGCAGTGGAGCTTTTTGGGGAGATTGACCCCAAAGTAAGTTTGCCATCTAAAGGCAGTTTAAGCATGTGCTCCTAGTACTTCAGGCTCATCAGCAAATTCTCTCTGTAACACACAGGGCTCTAAGCACAGACGCACTGACAGGTCCGTGTTGTGTTGTTTACGAAAAGCAGATGCCGGGAAGTCGTGGCCACGACTCACCAAAGAAAAGACAAAGGTAATAAACTCTTAAAACAACCAGTCAGTTCTCCTGAATGTGGAGTTTATGTTGACAAGCAAAAAATAAGTAAGTAAACACTTATTCTGCAAATTCCAAGTCAATTAGTCTATATACAGGTTTCATTAACAGTGGAAATCTTTGATTTAAATTCAGTAGGATTAAAAAGCTTTCCTTTTTTTCTATTAAAGCGTACTATCTAACATGCTCCCTTAACTTGAAAGAAAATTAAACATCAGAATTGAATGGATTAACAACCTTTTCAAATTGATTACATCAAATAATGCCTCATAAAAACCCTGAAATGTGTTGACTTTTCAGTGCAACTGGCTGAGTGTGGATTTCAATAATTGGAAAGACTGGGAAGACGATTCAGATGAAGACTTGTCAAGTTTTGACAAATTTTCAGAGGCAAGTATACCCGAGTAGTCCTGCATTGATGTAGGAAGGCATGCAGTGCATGTTGTCGGTGGTAAATATCGCAATAAAAAGCGATGTATAAAATAATACTGAAGATATTTTATGCAAACTTCCAGTTTAGCTGGTAGGGCTCCACCTTTGGTGGTGCTTGTAGGTAGAACAGAGTTGTTGTACAAGGGAATGCAACCCTAATTTAAATTCCAATACCTGTCGTGTCCTCAAAATCCAGTACCTTATGTGGTATATGATGCAGCTTTGTCCCAGAGCTAAAGTGCAGACATGCTTATTGTGTTCTGTGTTCCACCTCAGATGATGAACAGCATGGGTGGGGATGATCTACCTGATTTAGACGGTGCAGATGAAGAGGTACGTTCTATTATAGATCATTACTGAATTTCTTATGGTGGTATAGTTCTCTTCATTCAATTCAGTAGCGTTTGACTAAGATGTCTGCCCTTGCTTTGTTTTCCAGCGTGATTCTGCAGACAGCGATGATGAAAGTAAGTGTTTAAAAGTACTTAAAAGGAGCTGTTCTGTCATTAGTATTTTTTTGTCATTTATCCCCATGGGTCAAACAAAAAAAAAAGTCTGTCAGTACCGATTGCTGTGGAGATCTTCATCCATCAAGGAGTTACTGGGAGTGAATAGGGGAGCATTTGGCTGAAAAGCGTTAGAACGTAGCCTCTGTTATAGTTGTTCATGGTGAAACAAATCTGTCAGATTGCAGGTTATCTGTAATCTTGTGCTTACAGCCAAACATTGTAACTTTTAAATGAATGAGAGCTTATCTAAAAAATTTCAAGCAGTTTCACATTCAGCTCCCTGCCCGCTGTCTCTTTCAAAGGCAGCTAGTAACCGTCACAGATGCCTAAGTTATATGTTTTATAGAGGAACATTAAAGAGCCAGAGTGCCTTATTTTGAAGCAAAAAGTTTTAAAGTAAGTTGATTACATGTTTATCAACGTTAAATTACCCCAAAACTGAATCATCTTGGTGATTCTGAGATGACGATACCATAATTGTAATCATATTAATATTAATGTTCACTTTTGCCTCTTGTTTTAATTAGTTCTATACGCCACTCTCTTTAGTGAGGAATTGTTTTACAAATTATAATCTCTTAGTAAAAAAATCCCTTTTATCAGTGCTTTCTCATTATCCACCAACAATGTAATTTAGATTTATGTTGTTTGTCACTCAGATCTTGCCACATGCTAACATTCATTATCTGAACCTTTTCTCTTCCAGAAATACCAGACCTTGAGTAGACAGACATGGTTGCCACCTTAGTAGTTATCAAAGCGAGTTATGAGTCTGTTGAAAAGAGGGACGAGACACGAGTTGGCAGCCATGTTTAAGGAGAATCTCTCCACGCAGTCTCCAAAGTGAATCTCCCCAAGGGAGTGACAGGGAGTGACAGTTGGATACAGACATGCGCAGACATCCATAGCAACATACAGTGCTGTGCTTTGCTGTTTTGTTCTGCATGGACAATTCTGTTCAAATGAAAATGTTATCGTTCCTTGACATAAATGGCTGTAATGGGATGTGCTGATGTCTTAAACCTCGTCTCTCTCTGTCTCTCTCTCTCTCTGTTTTTGCGATGTCAGAAAATGTATTAAATGTTGTGATTTCTAATAGAAAAAAAACTTAAATATGCCTATTTTCAAAAAAGACGATTTTTTTAATGACATTTCCCCTCCTTTAATGTTTGTATTGTAAATTGCACTTATGTTTGTTAATTTAAAAGGCAAGAGTTCTGCTTTAAATGGGTTTTCCAATGTATCAAACATCTGCAAATATTTAACAATTTCATTTTTTAAACATATTCCAGCATTTCAAATAAACAGATATGCTTGTACTACTTACATCTTGTTTTAAGGCTTTGGGAGTGGAGGTACCACCATACAGAACATTAATCACTGGCAGATAACACTTGTGCTCAGTGAATTAAATACTGAGATGTTTGGGGTTTTATTTTTCATACTAAGTTATACTTGTTCATCACATACTCCAGGAATATGCTTCATTGACAATATTTCTTTAACCATAAGAGTAGCGTGACTTATTTGCTGTGATTCTAAAGTCTTTTTAGTCACGTTTGGAAGTAGTACTGATGAGTTATTATTTTATGACCTACGTTTTTAAAATCAAGTTTTTAGCTCAATTTAAAAAAAAACAAAAAGTATGTATACATCCTCTTACTTTTTCAGAGTATGTACCATGTGTACTGGCCTTAGATTTCCTATTTGTCGCCATTTAAGCATTTGTCCTGCATGACAGTTTATTACCTCAACCACATCTGGTGCACAACAATGAATCAAATTTACTAATCTACTTCCCACACTCAAAAAAGGCTGGCTACAACAAATAAATGAAAGTACCCTGCCAAGACCAAATGTTATACATATTTGAAAATGCTGACATTATCTTGTATGTAAATGGTTGCAGCAAAAATCAAATGACACAAAGGCAACTACCGGTAGTTTTAATGGTGTAAGAGACTTAGGTTAAAAATTAAATATAGAAACAGAGACTATTCAGCACAAACTGCTGAATTAGCAGTGTTAACTAAAGAGTGTAAAACGAAAAGTTGTCATACAGAAAAGCTGTATGTTTTCTGATCATTTTCAATATTCTCACGACAGTGAGAGACATTACACTCAGAAAATCCTTATTTTAGCCAAATTTGGAGCTATTAGAAGCCATTCAACAGCCCAGAAAAACAGCAATATGCAACACACATAAAACAGATCCAGTTTCTCCGAGAATTAAAAGGCAGGTGAGGGAGATAAAACAGCGGCACAACACCACTGAGTGCTCAATGGAAGCACAAGAAATCACACATATGGACCATGATACTTTGAATCTTCAAAAACTGAAAAGCACACGCTTATGAAACTTCCACATTTCATTCTCAGCACAAAGGGACATGTAGATGTTGGCTGGAACATTATTAGCCTTTACATTGGCCATGGAAATCATGTACTAAAACAGTTTTAGAACAGAATTTGCATTTCCCTGTGTGACCAGTTCATGTTTTCACCATGGTATGGTTGGTATAGGAAAGAGGGTCCGATGTGAGACGTTTAGGGGCCACGTGTTATGTTTGTGTCAGCAGTCTGTACCGAGGGAACAGGAAAACACAATGCAAGCATCTTTTCAAGACCCTCACTGTAAAACTAAACTCAGGGCTCATACAAACAATAGGTGGCTTAGGGACTCACGAGGAGAGCATAATACTCATCACAATAGAGATGCCACAACTAGCAAACCAACAGGCTAGTAACTTTCTGAAACACAACTTTTCCTTTTTCAGTCAGCATTTCAACAGTTAGAAAGTTTATTATTAAAAAGGCAATCTTCAAAGTGAAATCACTCTCTCAAAGTTTTGAAAAGGTTTACTGATTTTATTTGTATATCACCCTGCTGTCGGTTCATCATAACACTGGGACATCTGCAACATAGAGGTGATAAAAAACAAATACAAACCAAATTGGTATTGCTTATCTGGCCAATGGAAGAAGAAAGTAACACATTCAACAGCAGCAGCCATGCAAACGTATCATGGAAACTGGCCGAAACTGTCAGTGCCAGCGTTTTGTCTCCGTGCATGAAAAGATGAAAGCAGTGACCTCAGCAGAAAGCTTTCAGAGCGCTGCAGCTATTCCCGTAGCTGCCCCGGTCAGCATGATGCTCCAGTGCAGATGCTCAATGCCAGGCGCGCTGTTCCCTCTCCATTTGCAGCCGTGTATTTTCCATTTCTTTATCCGGCCTGAGCCTGCGACCCAGTCCACCAGACACAATGTAAAAGTCCATCTAATCAGTTCTGTCACCAAAAAATAAAAAGTGTATTTAGTGGAGAGAGAATTTACTCGAGCATCATGGAGTACATCCTGGTTTAGCATTCATTAAATGTAATTATTTCTGAGTCATTTGGAGAAAATTGAGGAGAATAAACAAGATGTGTGTATTTCACTTTGTATACAGGAAAATACTGAAATGCTTTGAAACTAACTGAAAGTTTGTTGCACTTGGTGTGCTTCTTTTAAGAGTTCAAATACAGATTAGGTTCCACAGTTGATCAAATGTTTTGGGTAAAAGTTTGAAACAGGTTATTCCCTACCTTTATGGAGATTATCCCCCAAAAATCACAGGATCGCACAAACCATGAAAATGGTGGAAGCTTAACATGCTCCAACTTTGCCTGAGAGGAATTTTGGTTAAACTCTTTGCTTTCGCTAAGTTTAATTGCTGGTTTTGATTTCAAATCAATAATTAGCTAAGAGATTTCTTGCTGAAGTTGTTTTTTTCAGCTAGTTTTTTCCTGCAACTTTTAAACACAACTCAGGAGTCAGTGGGATTTTTTTTATAGTTAAAAAAAAGTGAGAACGAATAAGGCAGCTGAAGGGTTAAATTAGTTTGATGTGTAGTATTGTGCACTGACCCCTCCTCTGGGTTCTGAGGCATGGCAGTGGCCCGGGGGCGTTATATAAAGGCCTCTGAGCTCCCCCTGCTCTGATAAAAAGGCTGAAAGTCTGCAGGGCATGCTTAACGTTTGTCCATTCACGCTCCTCTGCTGACAGCCTTCGGGGCTCGCCCATAGATGCATAGAGACTGGCGTGCTGCTCCACTCTGGAGCCCTTTATGACAGAAATCAGAACACCGACAGGGAGAGCAGTAACGCGTAGTTACATGTTGAGCAGTCTGTGTTGTTACATTTAACTTTGAGGAGAAAGTCGATATTTGAGGTCAGCTTGTGACTTGCCGTGTATTTTTAATTTTTTCTGTCTCAAATAGTTGTCATTGTGGAGAAGCATCTTCTCCCTTCAGTTGCTAAGTTTTTCTGTTGACTTTTCATCCCTCCACCGGTAGAAGTTGCCTTTTGAACTTGAGCTACAATGTGGGAGTTCAGGTCGATGTCTTTCTGGCGGGCAGTGTTTGCCGAGTTCTATGGCACCATGTTCTTTGTGTTCTTTGGACTGGGAGCTGCCCTCCGCTGGACCACCGGCCCCCACAATGTTCTCCATGTTGCCTTTTGCTTTGGGCTGGCGGCTGCAACCTTCATCCAGTCCATCGGCCACATCAGCGGGGGACACATCAACCCGGCCGTTACCTTTGCCTACCTGATTGGATCTCAGATGTCCATGTTCCGTGCTTTCTTCTACATCGTTGCCCAGCTTCTTGGAGGGCTGGCCGGTGCTGCTGTGCTGTATGGAGTTACACCCAACAACATGAGGGGAAACCTGGCTTTGAACACAGTAAGATCACCAGTCCCGAAAACAGCTATTGCACCTATTAACCAATTCAAATATTAGATATTCACCCATGCTAAAATAAGTCAGAGTCATAGAAATGGTTTACTTGAGCTGACGTCTTTGATGTAATCCCTCTCTCTCTACCACAGCTGCAGCCTGGCATCAGCCTGGGCATGGCTACAACTATGGAAGTTTTCCTCACCCTCCAGCTCGTGGTCTGCGTCTTTGCCGTGACGGATGAGAGGCGCAATGGACGTCTGGGGTCTGCTGCTTTGGCCATAGGTTTCTCTGTGCTCATGGGACATCTTCTTGGGGTAAGGGCGCACCCGGGGTCCAACAATTTATTGTGTTCCTGCGGCACAAACAAGGATGTGAGTTCTCCATTGGCTCAGATGGAGATGTCGGAAGTCTCTTGCAAGAATGACAGTGTTTCCATGTCTTTTTACTTAGATGTACTACACAGGAGCAGGTATGAATCCTGCAAGGTCTTTTGCTCCAGCTGTCCTGGTCAGGAATTTTGTCAACCACTGGGTAAGCCCCACAGATACGTGTACCGCTAATCAATGCAAACCACAGTATTTGTCAGTCTAAACACTTCAACTCTCTGTCCACCTCAGGTGTACTGGGTGGGTCCCATGATTGGCGGTGCCATGGGTGCCCTGGTGTACGATTTCATCCTTTTCCCACGTATGCGTGGTCTCTCTGAGAGGCTTGCCACACTAAAAGGTACCCGGCCACCTGAGGCAGAGGGCCAGCAGGAAACCAGGGGAGAGCCCATTGAACTCAAGACACAGGCTCTATAAGCCTGGACATGAAGATCAGCTTTCTGACCCCCGTCTTGAATCTGTCATACCTCATCCTGTACCCCGAGTTCCTGTACCATTCCCATCCCAAACAGCTTTTGCACACGTTACTTCTCCATACGCGCTAAAACAGGTCCCAAACCCCTTTAAGCTTTTGTCCCGTATCAAGAATTGGGTCAGTGAAAGGGCTCCCTAAGCCCTGACCATATTTCCAGATTGCATCCATACCATCCTTGATTCTCCTCTTCCCTTTCCTGGAATGCAGCATGAAGATGAAGGGTTCGAAGAAAACCGCCACCAAAGTAGGCCCCCTATGCTTTTTGGTGTGGGGAGTTAATCACTCCAGACTGACCAGGTGGCTGTTACTGCTCAGGACAGGGGCTGCTTTTTCCTTGCCTTTCTATTTCTTTCTGTTTTTCTTCATATTTTGTAGTCTGCTAGGAGTGAAGCTACTTTAGAACAATGGACTTCTGCATGCTTTTCAACTTTGAGACAGTGTGATCTCACACCATGTTGGTTTTGTTTAATGAATTTTGAGTAGATTACATGTTAGTATTGTATTTTACCAAAATTTGTTAGCTCAAATTTTCTTAAGTTGTATGTCTACATGCGGGTGTGTGCCTGTGTGTGTGTGGGTGTGTGTGATACAGAGTGAGAGCGAGAAAGACAGAAACTGAGTGTACCTGCATGTCTGACTGCATGTTTATGCTTGTGAGATTATTTTAATTCAACTGGAACTTTTTCCATATTTCATAGCTACACTTATGTGTCTGTACTTAGATTTTTTTTAATTTCATTTTTGAGTTACTCTTATGCAAGCTTACTTTAGGAAATCGTGCTGCTATTTTCCTGCCTACAAACATGTGTGTATGTGTATATGTATACATACATACATACATAAATATACATACATACATACATAAATATACATTTATATATATATTTATGTATGTATGTATACATACACACATACACACATGTGCGTTGGATATCTTATACAGTATTTATACAGTATTTGTCGGGTTACAGTCTCGATGACCTTCTGACATAATTTTGTCCTCTTAGCTTTCGGGCAGCACTTATGATTCATGTACAGGTGTGTAACAGCTGTTTTGCATTTATTCTGCTTGCCTGCCATCTGTGTTTGAAAAAACTGATAAGTCCCTGTACTTCCACTCAGAAATGAAAGCGTGCACAACATGTGGTGGCTACTTGCAGGTGTTGGTGAACACCCAATGCCTTCTCTGTTCTTCTCTTGGCTGAGAAGCTCTTTGAAAGTGAAACAAGGCCCACTTTGATATTTTTGTTAGAAGAGAAAGGGTTGTTGCAAATTGGATGAAAACAATAGTGTGTTTGTACAGAGTGCTAGATGTATACCATCATTTTCCTAAGTCTATGGAGAATGAAGGTGATTTGGCCTCTTGTCTCCTCCATCCTTCATTTATCCTACCTCCTACCTTTGTTTGCAAGGTAGCAGTCTTGTTCTGCTCTAACGAGTAGACGGCGGTAGCTGCTGGGATGGAGGGGACAGGCTAGTTAGCATTATATATAGTAAACCCAAGCAGTTATTGAACCATAAGCTGACAGGTAAGCTGGTTCCTTTTCTGCTTTCTCAACCTAACCTATTTTTCAGTGTGATTTCCCAGGCAGAGATTGAGTAGAATTTTAAGATTAGAATTTGTTTTCTTATGGGATGTACAGTGTAAAATTTTCTTTTTTTATGTTGACTGTTAAAATTGGATGGGAAATGGATGGATATGAATTGAGCTATCCAATGTCTCTTCTTTGGCTATTAGTAAAGTAAGGCCAACCATGTCAATATGGTTTCAGCTGATAAACAGCCAATGTTATAACAGGCATAACTTTCTAATTATATTGCATATGATTTATTATTTTTATATGTCAAAAAATCCCAAAAAAATTTAAATTTGCAATTTCCTCTTTGTCTGTGTTCTTTTGGCTATATGTGGGTTGTAAGCAACTCAATACACGCAACAGCTATATTATGAAATAATTTTTACCTCTTAAACGTGAGCAAGCCATGAGCTTCTGCACGTGGGTAAAGTTTCAGTTCACCTGTTGGACGCTGCTGTAAAGACTGTGCGGTGCTGTAAGAAACTTGACTTAGAGGACAAGGAATCATAAACCCACACATTTTTTCATTTTGAGAACCATAAACTTTTATTGGTTATCACAGTAAGATATTATATCAAACAATATATAAGACAACAGTGTCCAACACAGTGTTATAACATTACATGCATAAAACTGATGGTAGGTAGTAAAAAGCTTATATCAAAAGTCAAATTATTTTTAGTTTTAAACATTCATTAAAACAACATCCTTTATCAAGATGCAAATAAAGGCAACAAAAAAGGACACATTTATAAGGTACTATGAAACAGGAAAACTAAATATTGTTCTATATTTGAATACTTTTGGTGGGAAACACACTATACTTTTTTCTCATATATCTGCTGTTGGTATTTATTAAATACATAAAGGCACAATGCTTATACTTCGAAACACGTGGAAAATAAGTTATCTGTAAGTCTTTCATTTTTAATCAATTCTGATTTTATCACTGGCATTTTTGAAAACTTTTAATATTTGTGTTGTTATGACATGTTTAGAGAAGGGAACTAAATATTACAGGTCTAATAGATTAAACCTATATTATTCCCACCAGCTTCACCCATTCTGCTATTTTCTCCCATGTGAATATGGTACAGATTTACAGTCAACAATCATGAAATATCTTTTTATTGCCTGTATGTTACCTGGATTATTTACCATGCATACAACACATTACAAAAAGACTGTGCTGTGACACATGCTTGGCCAGGCTTTAAAAAAAACAAAAGAAAATGATATACAAGAACAACACTAAAATATACAGTGAGCACAGAGGATAACATTTAATAGTTTTTGCAAGACAACAACCCATTAACCCTTTTTACTGAACAGTAGTTTATTAATTTACCTAAATGCAAGCCAAGTGAACAAAACAGAACATGAACACACCTATCACCAGATAAGAGAGACAAAACCTTTCCAAAGAGTACACGATGAAGCCTTTCTATTTTTTGGGGACTCTGTTATGCTTTGGTTGGACATCATTTCCAGCTTTTAAACTGCAACAGCCCAATGCACCAATACAAGACACACAAATTAGATCAAACCATAGGTGTTGAAAACATGATGAAAGTCTATTGAAACGTTGCACTTTAGTCAAATGTTAAAACTTTAGGAGTAACTTTGGTTTGATGAGTGTTTTGTGCTCTGGAGACCACATGTGGGATCATCAAAAAGACCAAAGTCCATTCTGTTCAGACAAAACACAAGACAAAAACATGCAAATGAAGACAACCTGACTAATTTGACAAATATCCTTTAGAAAAACAAACAAAATGGTGGCGAGTTTTATGCGGATAGTAAAAGAAAAAACCTACGTTATGGAGTTGTCATTCTCCACCTGCTCTGGAACAGAGAAGCTGTTGAGCTGCTGTGGGAACTGATGCCTGCCCATCCCGTTGTCGATTGCACTAGAAGACAAGAGCGTGCAAATGAAGACCACCTGTCGCATTTTTATAACTACTTTAGAAAAAAAACTGCTTGTCAGTGAGGTGTCTGCACAGATACAACGGCGATAACTTACTTGAAGACGTTGGTGGCGTCGTTACTCTCCTCTGGAACACCGAAGCTGTTGAGCTGCTGTAGGAACGGCTGCACCACCATCCCGTTGTCTATTGCACTAGAAGACAACCACATGCAAATTACGTCCACCTGAAATAATTTTTTAACTACATAAAAAAAAACATAAAGAAGTTGGCATCGAATTCTTTGCAGAGACATTAGGGGGAAAACATACTTGTAGATGGTGCTGCCATCATCACTCTCCATATCTTTCTGATCGTCTAGCGGGTTGAGCTGCTGTTGGAACTGAGGCCTGACAACCCCGTTGTCCAGTGGACTTAAAAACAAAAACATGAAAATGATGTCCACCTGACATATTTTTCTAACTACTTTAGAATGAAACAAATAAATTGGCAATAAATTCTTTGCAGAGATGTTAAAAAAAAAAACACACTTGTAGACGTTACTGCCATCGTCCCCCTCCATATCTTTTTGATCGTCTAGCGGGTTGAGCTGCTGTGAGAACTGAGTCCCGACCATCCCGTTGTCATTTGGACTTGGAGGCAAACACATGAAAATCATGTCAACTACTTTTGAAGAAAAAAGAAAACAAAGTACTTGCCGGTGAATTATATGCACAGACATTAGGCATGAGTGAAACGGCAAGCACTACAAGCAGTATCCTAAAGATACCATCATCATTGACTCCTAAAATCCTCCAAGCATGATAAGTACACCTCAGCCCATGGTGAGAGTATTAATTTGGCTGGAATTGAAAAATAAGTAAGAACAGGACCAGGTCCAAGCCTTTTCATAGACTGATCAAATTCCCAATCAAGGGCCGCAGTGTATGTTTTTAACAATTTGCTGTGAGACAAATTATTCAAACAAGTTGTTGTGAAGCAATAAGAATACTTTGCAGTAAGAAATCTATAAAATACATTATTGTGGAAATAGTTGAGCATCCTCAGCTAGATCATTTAATTGCACTGTAAAACTATGTTTGTTGTATGCAAATAGGAAACTTTTTTTTGTTTGCGCATGTATTTTACACTAAATAGAAATCACAGGAGGTTCTGTGGGTAAGTGGTTAGGACATTTGAATATGAATATTAATGTGACACTAAAATGTGATGAATCGACACTTACATTTGGAAGCTTTTGTCGGCAAGTGAGTTCGAGCTACCAGCTGGAGATGGAGCGCCCCTGCAAGTGTTTGCAAAATGAGAGGGCGAGGTCAGTAAAGTGGAGGTGGATTTATTGCTGCATTCCCTCACCACTACCACACAGACTGTAAGCAGCCAAAGGGGGAAGTTATCTTAAAAATAATTAATTCATTGAGAAATTAGCCAGCAACTTTTTCCCTTTATAAGGAAAAAGAAAGGAGGGAAATGGCACATTGAATTCCTCAAATTGACACCCTTGCAAATTTCCACGCACTTGCAATTGTGAACATATATGAGCATCTTCTGTTTGTAATCTACTTCTAGTTTAGCTGCAAAGATGTCTTTCCAGTACTGAATATTGGCAGTTCTAATGTACGTTAAATGCATTTTCGCTTCTTCAAATGCTCCTACTAATGGAAACTTTTGCAATAAACCATTTAACAGAATGTCCTCCTGAAGAAACTTTTGTCCATGTGGACGCAGTGAAACTGCTATTCTAGGAGGTAAAATCAAGTGTGATTCAAGAATTAATAACCGTGGCTAGATCTGGAATCTGGACTCCCCTGGACCTGTACTCCACCATTCTGTTCATTCTGATGGCGCATATTCCTTCATTGCAACTTATAACAAAGAAAGAGATTAACATTACACTATAGCGTATAGTTTTTTACTTAAACATGAATATTTTACGGAATTTGTTTGTATGATTTCTCAATCTTACAGCCCTAATTTGACCAACAGTGTCATTAATAGGGTAAATGATCAAGACAAACAGTCTTGACTTCTGTTTCTTTTGGTTTAACCTTAATCTTAATTAATGTTACTCTATTTTAATTTCAAATCACAAAACCGAATTTCTACAATGATTACCTCAGAAACCTTTTAACAAAAATAATAATTTGACTTTCTCCCAAGCCACAAAGCTACTTCAGGAGACTTTAAAATACTGAGGTGCTGGGTGTAAATTTAAAAAAAAAGTTTGATAATAACATAATATCATTATCACAACATCAAATCTGACTTTTACACAGTTTTGGCTTCTGTACACTGTTTTTTTTTTATAGAGACTGTGACCTACAGGTCAGTAATAAAAAAAGAAATTTAAATGACACTTACAATGAGAAGCCACCATCATCAGCATCTATATTGTCAGCACGGGGTGTTGAATCCCTACAAACACAGAAACATGTAGTGCTTTACATAATTCAGCTAATTTTTTTCATAGTATTTTTGCCTTAGGATTTAAAGGACTTCTTACGTGCCAACTCTTGTTTGGAGAGTGACAGGAATATAGCCCGTCGCAGGTGGCTGCTGAGGCCCTGTTTTAAAACACAGAAAAACTCAATCTAACAAATGCATTTAATTGCTAAATATATCAACATAAAACACGAATATGTGTATGGACAGAAATATCTAGAGAGTACCTGAGTAGAACTTTTTGAAAACTTCATTTTTAGCAAAATCAGGGTATAAGACTTTTATTTCGTGAATGTCACGAATGCGGTCCCCAAGGCTTCTTATCTCAAGATCTCTCTTGGTGAATGGCTGGATATTCTGGATCATCTGCCCTCCACCTAGGAGGGCAAAAAAATGTCATATGCTTGAGGCTGCATGAGAGAGAAATTCTTTCCCACGGAACTGTGCTTGCATAACAACTCTACTCAATTATAAGAGACAGCAGCGCACACAGACTAACAATACCAAAACAAGTTAGTGACGCCTCCTATTTGACAAGGTGCCTTTAAGTTTAAGAAGAGTGAGGCATTTTGTGTTCTAATCATTATCTTTTTTACAGTCTTTATTATTAGTGCAATTTGGTACTCTTTCAAAAATATATATTCTCAATTTACTACAGTCAAACTTCTTTAATAGGAACAGCAAAAGGAAAAAGAACGCTTTAATGACACGGCTTACCAGTATTAGAAACATAAGCAATGGTGATGCCTCCAATCTCAGAGTCACTAAAGCGAAGCAGGAATGTCCCATCAGGTCTGTCTTTAAGAATCAGGTGTATATGCTGCTTCCCAATGAAACCAAATATCAGCCTTGGGGAGCATATGTTGAGAACATGTAAGTTTGACAGACAGTTATACATTGGTGTGATTTATAAATGAAACAGCTGTGGGATCCCTCTCACCCATCACTCCAGTAGGTCTTTAGATGTTTCTTGGTCAGCTCCATCACTCCCTCAAACCACTGCCAGAAGGTGAACGTTCGCCCAGGGAGGACTTCCTGTCAGTTTAAAGGGACCGTCAGATTTTCACGTCAGGTTGTTTGTGTCTGTGCATCAGAATGCATACGGAAGCATACCTTATTAAACTGAGACCAGGAAACCATCATGTTGCTGAAGTCCTCTGTAAAGTCAGACCGGCCAAATATCTTCTGGGCCAAAAAGTGTTGGTTGAATTGGTCCAAATTATGATTCGTCTGAACCTCGGAGGTGAATTTACTGTTGAGAGTGCTGTACATCAGCCTCCAGGGCACACAGTCCGGCACAACAAAGGGCATTCGGTCCTGATGACAAAAACAGAATAAAAAAAACATACATGGTAAGAACACTGATGGAGCTTTAAAGCAAAGAAAGATGATACTGATAATGATAAATCTACTATCCTGACATGGCCTGTTGATGTTGCTATGTATGTGGCCTGAACTATAATCAAAGTGCTTTTTCAGACGACATACTTGTAAAAACTTTATGAACTCTTGGTACATTAAACCTCCATGTTGAGGATGCTGGGCTGTTGTCCAGACAGCCATCAGCAGAGTGATTATCCTGGTGTTATGATGCAATAATGGAAAATCCATTAGTTTCTTTTCATACCAGCTAGTGATAAAGCCTCTCAATAACAGCCACTTCGTCAATCTGTAGATGCCACATGCCATGCAGAGTCAAGGCTAATGGCTTGGAATTTGTTGCTCCAATTCAGTTTAGATTCAATTCAATTTATATCAGTTTGGCCCCACCTATTCATTGGATCTTTCTGAAGCTCTCATAACTAGCTACGCTGATCTCCCAGAGGACCTGAGCTGGATATACTACTCAATGAGGATGGAAACAAAAGCTGACTCATTTCATCTTGTCACCTTAAAACTGTATTCCTCCACATTCTTCTGTATTCATGTGTAATCATACCCAGACCTTCCTAGAAATCCTATGTAATGTGCTCGGTATTTCCTTGTGAAAGTGCCAGAGCCACAACTCAGAACACATTGTATTTATTGTTGTGTGCGAGCTCATTATTACTTGGCACCAAAGACAAAACCACATAATAGGAAACATGACGGAAAGGAGAGAGAAAAAATCCTTTATACTTACTGGTTCTGAAAACGCAGCATCCCATATAATGGTGGCCAGAGCATTGTTGTCTTGACTGCCATGAACAATGACAACCACAGGGTGAGAGATCATCTGTAATCAGAGACATATGTTTATGTTCTCTCACTGAGTTGTCCCACTACAGATGCATAAGAACTACAGGGTGAAAAAAATCAAACCTGAACTCTGTAAGGAGTGTCACAGCCTGTGATAGCGATCTCTGTGCAGAACAGAAGGGCAAATTTTTCTTCTGTCACCGACTCTGATCCCTTTCTGTCGGCTCTCTTTATTTTCTTGATGGACTATTGAATGAAAAAATACATGTAATTTTTACTGTGTGAAAAAGCCATAATTACAACAGAATTTGGGATGTGAAATGAGGACCAGGACATACCATATTTCTGAAGGTTGCACATGTATTCTTTGAGGATGGATTGTGCTCAAGAACGGCTGAATTGTTTATCAGTTCCCCGACATTTTCACTGCAGATTAAGAGTTTCGGTATGAGTGAAGTTCTCTTAACTGCATACTTATTGTAGTTCCGAGCTTACTGCAGCCCTCTCAAAGTGTTTTAATATTCTACCTTTTTATATTTCAGCAAAAAAAAAAAACATGGCAAATCTAGAAAATTATGTTTACATCTTGAAATTGAAAATGAAGAAGTGTGCATAGAGGAGCTCCTGTTGAACAAGTGGGTGCTTGTATCAGCAGGTCGGGTTGAAACGTGTGCGGATATATGTGTGTGAGGCCAAGCAAGAATTGCGCAACATTCTCCTCTAAACAATAGCATTCGTGTGACTAAGCTGATTCCCAGATGCAGGCTTGATGTATATTAACACATCCAGCCTGTGTGTCTGTTAATGACGCATAAAAAGGAACTGCCACATGTGAATGACAACATTCATTTTGCACCAGTAAACCCTGAGCAAAACATGAAAGATGGCTTTGCTGTGAACCATATGGGACTCACCTAGGTACGCTGCCCAAGTTCCTTGCCTGCAGTTCATTAATGATTTGTGCTTTCAGGAGCACAGGCTTCCCAGGTGCTATTTTATCCCCAATTAGAAATCTCACAGTTGTTGAGAACTTTGACTGAGTCTTGATGACCTGGGGGGGCTGCTTATCCACAACAAGAGAACTGAAAGAGACAGAGTGGTGAAAAGGGGGAGGAGGTGAAGAGGACTAAAAGTTTAGGTGAAAGTTAAATATTAGTCTATTTTTTGGCGTTAGAAGGAGGATGAATATGCACAGATAAAATACAGTTTGACAGCGCTACCTCTCAATCAGAACCTTCAGAAGCTTCCGCAGCCTTTCCTGGAGGTCTGTGATTGGTTCCCCAATCAATATCAACTCCTGTCTCAGGTTCCCATTTATTCCAAGCATCTGCTCGCACCTAAAAAGAATGAACAACCATGAAAAATCCCACGGCAATTCAGTTTACCAAGTGATTGGATCTAGTTGTAAAAACTCAAAGAGGCAAACGTCATGCACAAATAACTCTGAAACAGCCAGACCAGCCAGTTAAAATGTACCACAATATTGTAGTGACCTTCCTCAGTAGAACATGAAATTATTTTTGTTATAGTTGCTAATTTTATTCAGCAACAAAAAAAAATTGTACATAATTAATATCATTAACAATATCATTTGGCCGAGCATCATAGCGACAGGTTTCTGAAATGATAATAACCAACAGCAAGGCCACCCTGATGAATCTGTCTAATTACTGTATCAATAGTTCAACACAGACACACAGAAGTCAGCTGTGATGTGAACAAGTACATACTTCCCTGTGACAATGTGGATACACAAAATCCTATGAGGACATAAAAATGTTATCCCATCTTTGTTTGTTTACGGTAATGACATGCAAAAATGAAAATTGTTTGGCAGCAGGGATGTACCTTTTAATTGGTGAGAAAAGAGGGTCTTACATGCATTATCAAGAATACAAAACTGGCAGTCAAGGACAACGACAGGATTAAATGCTTGCTTTTTGTTGGCTGAAAACGTTGACAACACGTGTCTCTAAAGAAGCAGATATGGACTTGTTGACGACTTTGAAGCATTCTGATTAGGTGATAGCCCCCAATTCGGTTCAGCACTTAGATAGGTGTCTTTTTCAAGTCTGATGTCTGGTATTTCACTTCAATAGGAGCAAAACATCACAAAACAAAATGATGAACAAAAAGAACTGGCCTCACCAGGTCTGCAGGGGGTACAGATTGTCATCAAAGGGATGTCCTATCGCTGCCTTGTGCTGCTGCCACCTCCACTCGTTCAGTCTGCTGATGAACCTGGCTTGGCAGCATTCCAGACAGTCCACACACTCCTGCAGCAGCTTAATACGTTTCTGCAGATAACAGACAAGTTTTTTTTTTAAAAGAGAAAGAAATCTTTACAAACACCTCTCAGGAAGAATACACCAAAGCTACCTATTACACTGTCCTCAGCTCTGAGGAGAGGTGGGCCACTGGTCAAAGATAAATCTTTTCTTTGAATTTTGAACTGATGCAAACACAACCGAGTCATAATGTTGTTCATGTAAGTGTTATTGGGAAAATTGAATAAAATTAAGCCGAGGTCTTGTGAAATTCTGTGATGAATGTAATGTCTTTGGTTCAATATTTAATGGTTTACTGTTTTAAGCAATTCAGGAATGTAATGAGGACAACATTTGGTAATAGCTGCATAAGGTTTTTGCTCACCGAGGCCATCGTCTTCAGGTTGTGCTCTAACTGCTGTATTTTATTCAGGCACTTCTTAAAGTCTGGAGTTCCTGAATTGTGTCCAGTCGGTTGGTATGGCACATCATGCGGAAGTAATAACAAAACAGTCCTGTTGGAGTCCATTCTCAGCAAATAAGGTAAGATATAAACCTTTGTCCACACATGCAATATGAAATATCTTCACTATTATAACATCAAAATAGTGTGTTTTTGGGACAGCTGTTTTGTGCCAGGTACCTGTTGGTGTAAATGTGTGTGTACAGTATTTTTCCAGCTCTTCCTATGGATTTTGAACATGTCAGACAAAACATGTGCATTAATTCTAAACCTAGCCATGTACTATTTACCTTAAAACCAAACCAGTTGTCACATTGGTAGGGAAGTAAATGCTGTTTTTTGCAGAAGCTGAAAAGCAATTGGGACAAGCTATTTCATTCATGGACTTCCCTTTAAAAAGTCTGAGTAGCAAATGTGTAAGTGCAGAGATGTCATCTAAGGCCTGGAAAAAATGCTGCAAAATCAAACCGGACAATTGTTGAGCCTTTGTAAATTTGACCCTATTTTTTCTGTGGACCAATGCATGTCTTTTGATTAAAGCAAGTGCCGGATGACATGGGCCGACATGGACTTACATTTTTGAATAAATCGGGAAAAACAATGATCAAGTAATACAATAAAAACAAAAAACATACTCAAATTACAGTGCTTTTTATCAATTAAAATTATAAAGATGAAACTAGATGAAAGTGGTGTAGTGCTTGTGCTGTAGACTGTATTTAAAAAGTGAAAAAATTAAAAGTTCAAATAAATTAAACAACTGACTAATATTAATAACCCCAACCATAAAAAAATGCACATGGACTGGCAGCTGTTTGTAGTATTTTGAGCATGTAAACACAAAGATCACCTTGCAAACTCTCAGAGTTTTGTCTTTCCCAGTTGAGCTCCTCTTGCAAATGGTGCATTTTTTTCCGGATTTCCTGAACATCAAGTGCCTTTAGAACAAGGTGGTCAACATCTTGCATGTTCATGTTCATGTTGGGTTGCTGTGGGACTTGTACTGAGGGACTTGGGTACTGTGAAGGCTTTCTCTACAGAGACAAAACAGCACAAAATAAACTTCCTTAAGTAGATGACTCAAAACTATTTAACAAATCATTTTGGCAGTTCTTAAAATCTCAAAAAAGGATTCAGCAAAAAATAATTAAGCTACAGGTGCACAATGGACACAGTCTGTCTGCAGGCAAAAGAAGCCCAGTGTCCAAACAGTTTCAGTAAGTTTTATTGCTTTATTGATCCAATACAAGCCAACAAAGAACAAACTGTTCCTATGCTCTGCTGCTTCTCTTGCGTTAGTAAAAAAAAAAAAAAAGACTTACACTAACAAAGCCACATGCTTGTCTTATACCTGCCTACCTTCTAATGGGGGGGCTGAACCTTCAAAAGACATAATTTCTAAAGATAGAAAAAAAGAAAACTCAAATAACTGGAATGAGAGAAACTATCTGAACTTGATATTGATAGGTTTTGGTAATTTCTATTTATTCAACACAATTAAAGCTAGACAACAAAAAATCGACACAATCATTTTCATACTTAAAATGATTACATAGAGTGTCTATGGAGAACTGGGCTTTGTAATGGCTTTGTGCAGGTGGTTTTACCATTGCAAGTCCAACTTACACACAATTATAATTAAACAGTTTCTTCCGGACTGCAGTGATCTTAACATTTTTTAACTATCTGTAATGTTCAATGTGCTATGTTCTACGAACATATTGTAAATCCAAACACTGACCCCCCCACACACACTATAAATGCCAACCCCCCAAGTCCTTAGAATTTGGATGTTCTCGTTGTGGATTACTTTTTCTTTAAGATACAACACAAAAGATATTAAAAGAAAAAGAGTCTTACGGAATTGATCAAGACCCTCTCCTTCCGGAGGATGTCTCTGACCATTATTGCGAATTGCAGAGGTTGTGGCCGAAACATTACCTGCAAAGCAAACACATGTCTCTTTAAATCCTAAATCTTGAACAAGACATTGTCCTTTATTTACAATTTAATTCTGATGTATGTTGACAAATGTATCATAAGTAGAACCAAACATATTACTTTAAGTCAAATGTGCTCGAATTGTAAAAGGATGCCCTGTATAACATGTAATGACTTAAACGAACTGCCTAAATTTTGCTTAGAAACAGTGGTCTTAGTCATATTGAAATAGAAATGCAGGTAAAAGCTTGACCCAGCTCCACTTCTTACCCACCATGTTTTTGCTGGTCTGCAGGAGCTTCATCCTGTCCACTACGTTGATGCCCTGCTGAGTAACCATTTGCAGCATGCTGACGGTCTCTTCTAACAGACCCAAAGCTTGGTTGTTCTGTTCCACCTTTTCTATGGAAAAATCTTCCCTGTGAGCAAGAAAACATTCAACATATGTTAACATCCACACATCAAGAAATTCATAACTACAGAATTACTTAAGAAGATCTGCAATGAAAGAATGCACAATATTGTCTGTGCTTGTGTGTTGTTCGCGTCCTACCATCCACGGCTCTCGATCCAGTCGGCGATATAATATCTGACTTCAATGGGGAAAGTGTCTGAAGGATAGAGGCTGCTGACTGTTTCTGAAGGGAGGTCCTGTAAAATCTGCGTCATGTGGCTCCACTGGGCCATGGTCAAGCAGTGCTGCAAAGTAAACAGACAATGTTTTGGTGACAAAATGTTCATCTTTAAAATGTTTAATAAGGAAGAATATATTTTTGTTTGGTATCCTTTATCCAGTAAAACTTGTAAACAAGTTCACACAATTCTATTTTTTCTTTATGCATTAGGGGAAACATAAGTGAGATAGTCATTACAGCCATGACTAATCTTGGTAAAGAAGTGTGGGCAAAGTTGCTCCATAATTGTTTTTGCTTTTGGCATAGTAGAGGTCCCAAACCAGATATAAATAGTAAGACTAAACAAGCAGACCATCAATTGGTTCCTGTGGCCGAAAAAATTGTTGACAGTCACAGTTATCCACTTGAATCCTCACATGCAGTCACTTTGGCAGAAAGAATCTGAACGAAATCAGAGTATTGAAATATGTGCACACACAGGAAAGTATTTCCATGCTTCTGTCGCTCTACACATTTTACAAGAACAGCTCATCTGTCCCCGTCAAAAGCGTTGTTTGCTAAAGAAAATGAGTCATGAAAAAGTTATGCCTACAATGGCAATAGTTTGCACATATGCCATTTCAAAGCTGCAGCCCCCTAAAAGACATGGGCACTGAGTGGTGTCTATACAGTATATGATATGTATATTATGTATATATATATACATATATATATATATATATATATATGCATATATGTGCATATGTGTGTGTGTGTGTTTTTTTTTGCATGATTTTTTGCAAACGTCAATAGGAAACAGCAGTGCTATTTGCACAAATTGTGTTCAGCAAATGCCAGTGTGATCGACACTGTAAGTCATGTCTCAGTGATACACGGAGCCGCGCCTTCCTCTTTCTCACCATGAATGTGAGAACCAGGATATACCCGCATCTCCCTAGAGTACATACACGAGACTGTAAGTCTTTTTCGCCTGCCACAGACATCCTGTGACAAAGACAGAGCTTTTCTAGGCATCAAATTTCTCTCTTCTCCTCTGTTTGGCCCAACAAATGCAAAGGTTGAAAATTGAATTGCATTAAGATCAGATTTCCTGGCAGATAGGAAGGCTTTACAGTTCAGGCTGTCATTAGTGATGAGGTGGAGACTCATTTTTTCCCTCATTTCAGTACATAATAATGGCAGTAATAACAAAATAAAGGATAATAAGCAAATGTCTATTTTACGTAGCCTTCAAGGATCTGAGTGTAAAATGTGTTTTTTTTCAACGGAACACTGTACTGACTTCTTTGACTCCAACGCGTCAAATTTTTTATATTTTGAGCCTTTTTAACTGAGGAATATTAGAAAAAAGAGGCACATTTGAAGCACAAAAGCATATATTTGAAACCTAATCAGTGAGTTGATGTTCATCCCAGTTTAAAAGGCATTCATAGTGATCAAGGCTGCAACTGAAAGTGTCCATAAACTTGTCAACTTTTTTTTTATCCTAACCGCAGCTTTAAAATTATTGGTCAAAGCTAAGTTATGTAAAAAAAAAATGTTTAAATCCTGAAACTCTTTTCGCTGTATGTGAACCTTTTAAGTAGAGTTATAGTGTTGTGTTAGCACTGGCGCCTCACAGCAAAAGGATTCCTAATTCAAATGTTTTGTATGGAATTTGCATGAGTTCCGATCTATGCATTGCTTCCTTCCTGGTTTTCCCCACTATTTAAAACATATCTGTTGGGTTCATTGGTAGATTTAATTTGTCCTTAGGAGTGAGTGTGATGCAATCCCACAATGGAACAGCCAACTATCCGAGGGGTACCCCTCCACTCATCTAATGGACAAATGGATGCTGGTATTTGACAGCTAGACTGGACGTGTAATGCTGACAGGTCTTACTCAATCACTCCTCAGCAAAATTAACATTTCACATATCTGCAGAATTGTTCACAGGTTAAGTTTCAGTACCAACCTAGCAAAGCTGTCTCATCTTACAAGAATCACAAAGGAGCCTCAGAGCTAGAATTCTTTCTTGCCTCAGTAATTAAGTGAGCTAAAGTTAATCCACTTCACTCCCTATTTTTGACAGACCAAACAAACAAGTTCCATCCAGTCCTTTTTAAGAAAAGTGATTCTAAACTTCTGTATATATTGGCTGAGACCACTGAAAGCCTTCACCCAAAATATTAAAAACAGTTCCCACCAAAAGCAAGCACTATGCAACACAGGCAAGGAAAAACTTATTTTTAAGAGGCAGAAGCCTGAAGCAGAATCATGGCTCAGGGTGGGCAGCCATCTGCCTCGACCTGTTGGGGGTGAGAGAGGGAAAGAGAGAGAGAAGGGCAGAGAGAGCAGAGGGAGCAGGGGGAGGCAGCCTACACAGTAACACATAGAGGTACAGACATGTAAAGGTAGTGTTGCTATAGGCTGGCATAACGTGGACCTCATCCTTTTTATTCAGAAAAGTGTTCCACAATCACCTACTTTGAAACTCAGCTGAGTTCAATGTGGTACAAATACAGTCTTTCCATAGAGCAAAAAAAATTAGCTACAGCTCTAATTTTTCATGAATTATTAAAAGGATCATTTCTACATCGTGATCATTTTTTAATCAACAGTAGAAGGATTTAGTCAAACATTCACTGGATGCATTGAAGACGAAACTAACATAAGGGCATAAGTGACAAAAAGAAACTGAACGATCTGATAAAGAAGGCTGACCCAGTGCTGAGGACTGCTAGGGGAGCCCAAGTAGCTGATAGAAGCTGCTTATATCTAATGGGCTACACAGCACGCCCTTTAAAAAATATGCCAATCAAAGAAGGAAATGCGAGCAGATACAGGTTTCTTGTGTTCTGTTTGAGCAGAGAACGTAACAGGATGTGATTGCCCTTAGAAACAAGTCCCCACAATGGGCTGATTTTCTTTGTTGTGTTTTGCAAAGGTGAAAGCTGTTGATTACACACACACACATATATATATGTGTGTTTGAAATCTGAAAAATATATATATGAAATCTGAAAAATACTACTTCATTCCTCCTTCATGTCTTGTGGGAGGATTTTTTTTGTGGAAAATATAAAAGCACTACACTTGGGGCCTCTGTTTCGGCTGTAATGCTGCTGGCTGCTTCTCAGCTACGTGGATCACTTCCCCCACAGCCTGACTTTATTTATTTCCAAATGAAGATCCTGTGTATGCACATGTTTATGAGCCTGCTTTCTGCAGAGCTTGGGCTGGTTTCACTCTGTAAACATGTACTCATCCACTGTCAGACACTGCCTCTAGTGTCCAAATTCATTTCTCGAATGCCTTGAGTGCCAGAGTTTCATAACTAAAACCCAGCCTAGCTAATCTAACTAAAACCCAACACAATTTCACAAACTTGTTGGCCTGGGATTACAAAACAGCTATATGTAAAGTTTATTCAAATATCAAAAGCCTTTTTTTGTGTAAATGTCACATATAATCACTATATTGCTGAGGAGCTTTTGTAACAGTAAAACTGAAGATGAAACCACTTATAAAAGGGAACAGTGCACAAAAGCGAGAAACGTCATTGTTGCTTAGCATGTCAAATATTGGAAACGGCATACATTTGATTGTACTGCAAATTTTGACGTAATCCATCCAAAAATATTCTAAAAGACCCAACTTTGATGATGGACAGATACAAGTTGAACAAACAGGAGCAGGTTTGACCGAATGCAAGGCTGTTTTTGATCCATCCTGCTGCACAAATGTCTTTTAACCAACACCTGAGAGAAAGAGAACACACAGTGCGCGACACCCTCCTGCACTCACCCACGGACTACAGGACCCAATACCAAAAGTAAAACAATAATAATAATAATAATAATAATAATAACCAGGCTCACCTTCAGCAAATGGAAACTTCAAAACATTGAAAATCAAAATATAGGCCCGTTGCTTTTCTTCCCCACTTCCCTTTCAGAAGTTCTCAGAGAGCCCGAACATCCCTCCGAACATTTCCTGCCCTCACCACTCACTTTGACGCTGACGGTCAGTCCTCAGCTGCTCAGTTGCTGTCAGTTAAAACGACTGTCGAGGAAGCGAAAAATGTTTTTTCCGAGTGCCTTTAGGAAGGACATAAACAACCTTTGGCAACGTAGAAAAGGAGGTTAGTCACTTCCCTGTTACCCACGATGTACCAGCAGACGGAGGTGCGCACTTTATTTCCTGCCTGCTCGTTCAAGATCACACATGTCCAAACCACTGTGTAGTCCCTGTAAACATCCAGTAGGCTGTGTGCTGGTGTGAGGATTCCAAAGTGCGCCTCTCCCCCTACAAAGGCCGTTCTTTAGGGGGGCTTTTGGCGTTTGGTGATGCTGTCATGTCAGTGAGGGTCGGGACGCACGCCGTCTGAGCGTTACGCACAATAATGAGGCATAAGGTGGACGTGAAAGCCAGGGGCTTTAGTGGACTTCCACGGAAAGAGTCGTGGGCGGAGAAATGTTGAGTCACTTGCACTTAACTTCCAGTAAAGCACATGATACCATATCTTCAAGAGACAGCGTCCCCGTGCCGGACTTCTTCCCAACGGCAGAGACGCACCGAGCTCATGTCACGTCTCAGCATCGAGGGTTTTTTACTCTGACCTGCGGTTTTTTTATTTATTCCTAGAGGCAAACCTGCGGCTGAACTTAATTATAGCAGCGTGGGCATTAAATATATGACTTTTCCCGACAGCTTTGCACTCTGGAAATATACAAAAACTGCAGTGTACTTTCACCTTTTCACTTACACAGTTTCATTTGATAGCTGGATTCGTTATTTTTTTCATCCTTACACATAAAAAAAAACATACAGGTATTATATTTTTTCTTTTCATTCTACTAACTACAGATATTTCAGAAAGTTAGCATTTTGTTACTGCAGATAGACTCATTTACAGGCGTGTGTGCTGTTCCAAATATTATGTCATAACATGTTCACATATAAGATAAGCAGATCATATGTCACAAAGGTCTATAAATTATTACATACATTCGCCCTTTTGGCTTCCAATAAAAAGTTAGTTTGCTTCTGTCAAACAGTGACACCAGACACTGACTGTATCTGCATAATCCCAGTCGACTGTGTGACCGGTGTTCTACCAAAAAAAGCCACCAGGGGTGGCTGATGTGTTGAAAATGTGTTGTCTGCGTTTTTAAATTTGTAAGCAGTGCAAATATGTGATGCTCCAAATAGCTATTTAGTATTTAACACCTAGTTTTGTCCCTATTTCTTAATATTGTCAATCATTTTAATTAATGCAGACTAAATTAACTAAATACTACAACATTTGCAGATTATATTAGATTACAAGTTTCATTGCGAGTTAGTTATTGAAATCGTTGATTCTTCAACTCTGAAAATAAAATAAAATAACATTTAGCTGCTGAGGTAATATCGCTGGGTTGCTTTAGGCAGTTCTGTAAATCTGTGGCTTCATCATTTCTTGGGTTGGCCATTGGAGGGAGGTACAGACCTGTGAATCCTGCCGGTCTTCAACATGAGCAGAGGTCTGTTTGAAATTAGATGCCCTCATAGCAAGACCACACATGATAATGAACAGACCACCAAAAAGAAAAAAAAAAATCAAACTTCAGAGGAGTATTTCTTGTAACACTTTATGTGTCAACAACTGCCTCTGCGGCTGAGGACCCAGAAACGCGACCGGCCTAAATCCTTATAGAAGCCATCTATTTATCCTGCTGTGGATCTATTTACTATTTATTTGTTTTGTGATCACATTTAAGTAATCTGAGAATTGGCAGACCAAGGCCTTCTACAAGGACATTCCACTTGTCAGATCCAATTTCCTGAGAATTTTGATGGACCGGTGCAGAAACAATGCAGCTGGAAAGATTCGGTCATTTTCTCTCAAACATTCCAAACAGTTTCCTTTGTGTTATTTTTATTTCACATACATCTTTGATTTGCTAATTCAACTGGCATGGTGCTGGGATTTTGTAATGACTATGAATCATTTTCTCCACAATCTGCACAAAATCTTCTTGTTTTCTTCTCTACTGCTAAAGACAATACAGGTTGGACAGTGCATATTCTTGTCATTAGCATTATTATTGTTATTATTTAATTATAGTGGTCAATATTTGTGACCAGCAGAGACTATTTTTGAATTGGTATTAAACTGAAGTCATTATGACAGCCAGCTATGAGCTATATGTGATAAATTATATTTGTGTATTGTCTTAATAAGACAAGTTAATGTCCAAATGGAACTCCATCACAGTGTTTTATTCTTTAAGCTGTTAGTCAGTTTCAGATTTGGTTCTGGGCCATTTTTTGATATCTCACTTACCATAATTGCTCTTGCTGCATTACTCCTCTTTTGTTTGGGCCTGTCACCATTTTCAGGGTGCTTGTGGGTAAAAAAAAAAAAAAATCACCAAAGACTTCAAACATCTGGAACCAATACAGATGTGCTGGCTATCTGTGGGAGGTGGGGGGCTTGGAGGTTGCAGGCTGAGTTAGGGGAGGGTGAGGGGCTGGGCTAGCTGCTACTTTGGCCCTGGGGGTCTGTGTGTCCCTGACTTCAAAATAGACTTGATTGCTAACAGCTGGCAGTCCTAACTCACCCAGTGTCAGAGCTCTCCTCTGATGTCAACCTTGTCAGTATCAAGGCCCACACAATGGAAGGCCAAAGGTAGAGAGGGCTGTGTCGTCGTGAAATGAGATTCAGAGGGTGACCTTTTTCTTTACGGAGGTTGTTACCATAAATAACTTTCAAGTTTCTTTTCTTTTTTGTCAATCCACCTCTGAATGAGGCACTCGCTTTTCATACCTATCTTGAGAGTTTTGTAGACAGGGTGAATGAAAATGAAAAAAAACAAATGATTGGAAACAATCATATATTACAATCAATATTACATAAAAAGCTGCTACAGGACAGTTTCAAGCTTCAATTGACAACTCTATTTGACCCTAACTTAACACCTGAAGTTGTGATGCATATCACATGTATATTATTCTGCTTTTTAAAAATGTACTTTCTCTATTTGCTACCAAAGTTGAAGGAGGGTTGTTCAGCCTTGTCCTGCTATTTAGTGCCAAAGTATGAGTAAATAGAACAGCAACTCATTAGCATCTTTTATGATCCAATTACAAACTGTGCCCACCTAATTACTTCCAATCAACATAGAGAAGAAAATTATTGACTTCCTGGAGAGCAGGACTCAATTTAGAACAAAAAGGACAAAGAGGATTGCTGTTGTTTACTGACATAGAAATTGCTTCTGAAATTATAGTGTAACCAGTCACCTTTGTGACATTGTCATTGTTTTGAAGTGATTATCACAACCAAAAGAAAAAGCTCAATCACTATGTACTGTTACATTTTTGTGTTGTTTATGCTTTCTTAAAAAGGTTGTGTTCTTCTGCTGGCTCTGTTATTGAGTTGATGACAGCAGAACATAGGAAATAATTTTAAAACAGCTGCATAAACGATTATCCTTCACTGGAGGATGAAGGGCAGCTTCAGCACAAGGTAGTGCTCCACAACACAGCTATGCATCATTATTAGACAATTAATTACCCTTGTCATTAACACTGCCTGCACTGATTCTCTGCTGGGATCCAGTCACAGATGTTGTGAACTGTATTTTCTTAAATCAGGAAGTGAAGAATCCTGTTTTGTGCATCAAGGGAAGTTTCCATTCTTCTTTCAGATGTACTTTTCAACTCTCAGTTAGTTTTGGGGCTTTGAAACATGTGAGGAAAGGCCAGAAATAGCACTGGGACCACTGGGACGAGCTGTTGTTTACAGACAGTGACAGGGATGAAGGACCTCTGTGCTCTGGTGCTGGGATTGTAGCCTTAAGGGTGTGTTAGCACAGCCTCGGTTGCTGGTCTGAAAGCTACAAAACACACAGAGACGCACATGTGCACGCGGGCCAGCAAAATCATTTGCACACTGATGCACAAAACCCCACAGGGTTGTTTTCCTTTGTTTTTCATCTTCTCCATGCAAAAGTTCAGACTCAACGAAAAGCATAATCTGATGACTCCACATATGAATCAACATCAGTTTAAAGGAGATGGAGATAGGCAAAGAGCAAAGAAACAGTCCCAATGCAATTTTGACAAATTCTGTTTAATAGTGTGTAATATTCTTCTCTTAAAATACAGTCTTTTCTGAGGTAGACTATGACAGTTCAAGGACATTATCATTTTTAAAACAGACATCAAAAAGACATGAAATAAATACTTTCATGTACAATATGCCGCAAAAATGAGGTAGAAATGGTTACAGAAAATGTACAATTACGAAGAACAAAGTTGTTGCGGTAGCAGACCAAAACTCACAAAATAATGTTTTCTTTTGCTGGACAAACTGGCAACAGAAGAGACGTTTATAAAAATCAAAATGTTGTTGCTCATTTAATCTGTAACTATACATTTATAATTGTTGGAGCTTTTGGCTGATTGAGGCACGGGCTGTTCTGTCACTGGTAAATGGCTTTCTCGTTTCTGAACCAGCGATCACTTTGCACAGCGGGGGTCACTCTGACTTATCTGTTTGCATGACATGACTGAAGCCATCAGCTGGCGAGGGAAGGCTGCACTGTGATATAGGATTGCTGGACATCAATCAGTCCACTTTCATTCCAAAGGAATTGGTATGAGGGGGTGGTCTGGGGGAGGGGCAAAGAGAAGATACAACGCCACATGGTCACTGAAGCTTGTGGCCAGGGGGCAATCCAATCTTATGAGATTGCATTGAGGGGAGAAAATAGAAAAGAGAAAAAGAATGATGAGGGTGAAAAGAACAGGGAGACAGAGGGATGGTAGGAAATATTACATCATCTTGTGTATACCTCCTCATAGCCATGGCAACAGTAACACATTCAGCCTCTTCGCCCGCAGAGCAGTGACTGGGTTTTTCCAGCTTGTTAAATCAGAATCTGAAGAACTGCTATAAAACAAGAGATATTCCTGGATTGTCTGCATGTTAGCTTCATAAACCATAGATACACTCTCTATGTGTTAAAAGTCACGTCATCATTTTTGCACCTGTGTTGTCATCTTTTTGGGTAGAATTGGCGCTCAGATTTTTCATGGAGTGCACATGAACAATTGAATGCATCATATTCAAAGTTTTAGGTGATATTTTGCATCATTAAAACTATGGAGAGCAGACATGCATAACAAGATATGTAAACACTCGTTAATTAATTTGTAAGATTTGTAAGCAGTTTGTCCAACAAAAGAGGAATTTCTTCTGTATTCTACATCTTTCTCGACAACAGTCATCACTTCACCATAAACTACAATAAAATTAAAGGGTAATAGAACAGAAAAAATGTATTTATATTTTCATATATAATAATACATGGATTTATGGCATCAAATATTCTTTGAAATACCTGAATTACATTCAATGTTACTCTTTGTAGCATATTCAAGTTTCTCTTCCGAGGTAAAGGCCCAGCTGCAGTGGGTATTACAAGACTGTCTGGTTTCTCCTTGTTCCTCTGTCTCATTCTGCACCACTTTCTTCTAAGACCCTAAGATTACATACATTCTTTATTTCATATATCTGAGGTAAAGAAATTCTTCCTGAGCATTTCAAACAAGACTACATACTATGAAAACAAAAGGAGTAAGTGAAATAGGAAAACAAACATGCTGTGGGAGAAGCTGGATGTGCACATGGTTTTCAGTATTTGAGATTCTCAGGAAAACTGCGGTTGGTGTGGAATGTGAACAATAAAGCAGGTTATAAGTTATTTGTGTCGAGTTCAGTGTGAGCACGTTGCCACTGGTTCAGTAAATGAGGATGTGTGACATCTGCTACCAAAAAGGCTGAGAGTAACAAAAAATATTTCACATTTCTTTTATAACTCTTGAGCAAAGCAGGTTCCTTTTTTAATATTATGCACTTAGCAACTGTATGATCAGCCACAGTGCCATGATTTGGTAGGAAGCTATCAAGACTATTAAGAGGCGATAATCAGGATGATCAGTCCATTTTGAGAATTTCTACAGTAGTTTTTGATAATGTATCTGGTATGACAGGTTTTTGGTCAAAATTTGCTGAAGAGTTGCTAATCCCAAGCCCTTTGCACTGAATGATTAGTGACAATCCAATGGCTAAAATCAATGTTAGGATAGCATGGAAGTAGACTGAAAATAAATAGGATCCTGAGAGTAGCAGCCAATAGGTGGATTTTCCCAAAATCTGATTATCCATAATTACGGACCATGTCACCTAGCAACGAACAATTGATTTTTTCCTAGACCACGGCAATTCAGGATCTCAGAGAGTATCCACACAGTTATCTGATTTTCCCATTGGCCAAACCATTGATAAACCATCCCACTCATCAGGGGCTATTTGTTATTCTTTTCTTTGGGAAACATGAAAAATTAAGTGTATTTGTGACGAAACAAAATAGCACGCCATGGTATGCTTCTGCCAGTGAAATCATTTTGTCAGCATTCCCCTAATGTTGAGCATCTCTGGCTATTTTGGCTGCATAATCTGTAATTAAAAAAACAACAGCAAACCATTACCAAGGCTGTCTGTGTCAAAGCACAGAGCGGGTCATAGTACAGTCCAAGTACAGGGACTGGCTGCCTTTTCAGTGGCTATACATCTTGCTCCACTCTACACAAGTGTCCAGTTCTTTTGCAGTTGTATGTGGCCGCACCTTGCAGAAGGCATTCTCAAAATCTGTGAAGTCTGGGGGTTTCGGCGATGTAGCGAGGCCATGCATGGCTCCAGTTGGGGAAGATGCAGAGGAGAGTGCCTGCTGGCTGAGTTGCAGCAGTTCCCACACAGAGAAGCCCTCTGTGCGCTGCAGCACAGTGTTTAGCTCCCTCTCACTTAGGCTGCAGCCTTGGGGAGTCAAGGCCTGCAGCAACACCTGTCGGCGCATACCCACATCCGGCAGACCCACATGATACCTCTTGGCAAAGCTCCGATGCACCGTGTCTTGCAGTAGATCTGGTCTTCCAGTAGCACATACAAGAATCATGAGATCTGCGGTCGCCCCCTGGGATTTTTCCAAGGTACTCAGCAGAATCTGCTTCAACCCCTCCTCTTCTATGGCCTCCACCTGATTAAGCAGCACCACAGAGGGTTGCCGTGCTAATGCCACCTGCAGCAGTGAAGCCAGAATGTGCTCGGCTTCCATCTTCCCTTTGGCGGCCAGCATGGCTCCACTCACACGATAAAAGCAAGCCCCTAACTGTGAGGCCAGTGAACGAGTCAGTGTCGTCTTACCTGCTCCCCTGGGGCCAAACAACAGGACAGTTCTTGGTGGCCGAATCATTGGACTGGGTCTCAACACAGGCCACAGTAAGTCCTCCTCCAAGGCAGCCTTAACATGGGTGAGCCCAACTAGTTCACTCCAGAGCAATGCTGGGATGCAGTCCAGTAACTCCTCATTTACAAGCTCCAGTAGTCGGGGATCTGGGCTCTTTAACGTCTCAATAGGAGTGCATAATGGAGGCCGTTTGAGTGCCTGAGAGTGGTGCTGCTGTTGGTTGAAACCCTGCTCCGCTACCCCATTTTCCCCTGTCATACCTGGTGGCGGGCTATACTCTCCTCCTGTCCCAAACTGAGGAGACACCAGGGGCTGGGAGGAAGGCTTACTGGACTTGAAAGTTTGAGGATCTGCACTGCCCGAACCACTGAAGCCATTTCCTCTGCACTCTGTTTTGTCATTTAAACTGTAGGGAGAGTTTCCTCCAGCTTTCAAGGAGTCATAGCTATATTTTCTGTATCGAGACCTGTCCCCACTGTTGTCTTCCTCTATGCTCATATCAAATGCTTTTCTTTTTAATGCCCCTCCAGACTCAAGGGTGGTGCCGTGGTAACTGTAGCTGCCTCCTACCACTGTGGGCCGAGACGGAACAGGAGTAGGGGCTGGAAGACCTGAGGGAAGGTAAGTGGCTGAGGGGTGACTGTAGCTGGGAGCAAGACTGGTCTGGGGAGGGTATGTGCTTGGCGCATAGTTATAGACAGCTGTAGTGGGGCTGTAACTGGGCACCAGAGTTGGGGTAGACTGGAGAGTATGGATTGAGGCAGGGGGAAGTGCTGCACCGGGTTGTGGACAGAACCCTGAGGAAAGATAGGTGCCGTTGTAACTAGAGGGGTACTCGCTGGAACCACTGCAAGAACTGCTGCCACTGTAACCAGAGTCTGAGAGGTTACTGTTCACAACTGACACACTGCTAATCCCTGGAGGACCTGCTGATGTGGCTACAGTCTTGGAGCCTAAATTGCTATCATGGCCTCCGGGTGGAACCAAGGGATAGGAGGGATCAGTGCTATGCGTCAGTGGCCAGGGCTCCATCTCTGTCTTCGGGCCGTTAGGGCCGCCAAATGTCCCTGGTTCTGGGTAGGTGCCAACAGTAGCATTCCGGTCATAGGGTGAGTCCAGCACACCAGAGTACTTCTCAGCATAACGCTTCAACAGGTTGGAGGCTGTGAGGGCAGAGATGTCATCATTTGCCCAGGCGTAGTTGTAGGAGCCGCGGCCTCGGCTAGAGTAGAATTCTGACTTATGGGCTGGAGAGGAAGTGGTAGAGGAGACGTCCAGGTGCTGCTCAGGCCACTGGCTGAGGGGCTGGGCATGCTCTGGGTTCCAGTGCATCTTTAACAAGCCTGACAACAGAAACACACAGAGGGAAATAATTTATTGTTATTATGGCACCAAAAACGTCACATTTATTCAATAGACATTTGGAAGAAAAAAAAGACTATATCTAAAAGTTCCTTTTTTGTTTTTTAGTGAACTACAGTAAAAGACATCTTTGCATGTGTGCTTTAAAAGCATCTTTGGGCATCTATTTCAACATGCTGCTTTACAACCAAAAACAGAAGCCAACAAGGAGCTAAATGGATTGGATATATGGATTATACGTATCTGGAAAAACTTTAGAGCATGCATGTGACAATCCATCTTGTATATGGTCACACGTGGAAAAATCCCCCTCCTCTTTAATCAGTGAGTGATATGGAATGGCCTTATCTGTCTTTGAAAATGAATCTTTTGTCAGTGTTTCTTTTAAGAATGGCAGCAGAAAGAGGTCAGATTTCCCAAAGAGGGAAAGAAAGCATGAAAACAGATCAGTGTTTTGTTTTCTAGTTTCCCATTTTGTGTTGGCGTAGCGATAAGATCCCACTGCTAGTCCTTCTACTTGTAGCATCTGCAGCTCTCCCAGAGGAGCTATTGTTATCTCCCTGTGCATGTTGCTCTGAATGCCTGCTCTCTGTGCTCTGCACCTCCACCTACCACCCACCTATCCACCCACCCACCATATACCACAGCTAAAAAGGTCCAGTGGGCTAGGGAGGGAGGGAGAGGTGAAGGAGTGTGTGTGTGCATGTGTGTGTATGTGGACAGTGTTGTGGAGAATGAGTGAGAAAGAAAGCAGGGAAGGGGGGCAATTGGAAGTGCAGCATAGTGTGCTATTCATCAGCACAGTCTCCTATGGAACATTGGGAAAGTGGAATGTCTGTTCCTCTGGCACCGGTCAGGTCTGATTGATCATCACTGTCTTAACAGGAGAGAAAGCAGCCAAAAAAAAGAAGAAAAAATTCCCATAAATCTCTGTAACCCCCCATTCAAAGAAATTATTTTCTCACACATACAATGAGTGCTGGGGGGGGGGGACCTTTGTTCAAATGTATAATGCATGTGTCAATATTACTATATAAATGTAATATAGAGTCATCTATTTCATGAAGTGCTGCCTCTTGCTGAGGCATTAGCCTGACATTCCACGCATAGCTTGGCATTATTGAACTGTCACGATTTACCCTGAGGTGAGGACTGCTTCTGCCAGAAACCGGGAGGTAAAAAGGAATATGGGAAAAATCGTCATTGCTGCGCCCTACCTTTTCTTCAGCAGACGCCTGATAATTCATTATTCATGGCTGTCTCTGTGTGTGGAGCCAGGATTCTTATTGCCATTTAAATCAAAGCTCAATATCTAAAGATTCTTCTACTCCTCTTTCACTCGGTGTCCTACTCTTAAACTTTAGCCTCTTTCTTTCCAAATCTTCCTATGTGTGTTTTCAGATTACACCCGTTGTTTATTCGGTCAGTTGAGACCAGCAGACCAGATGGCCATTGGATTATCATGCCCTTCATATTCAAATGCAGTGCCTTAAGTTCCCAATGGCCAAACCAGTTCAAGTGCTTCCCTAAGCCTCAGTCACTCCACACAGTCACACATCCACTACAGCAAATTGTGACATTCTCACACCATAAGTCTTTTTTTTTTTTTTTGCTCACACATATGCTCATCCACACCCAGATGACCACGTATTTTTTGTGGCCTGACTTGCAGGTCTTTGTCCTGACTGCAGAAACCATATATGTCCTGCAGGCCCTTCCATCTGCAGCCCAACCAGTTTGTGAGCAGCCCCAATAATGGGGCCTGTGTGTGACAGAGATGGATGAGAGCCCAGGGGAGCTCATAAAACCTGCAGCAGGGAGGGAGGGATGGAAGACGACATGGATGGAGGGAGGGAGGCGAAAGAGTGGACAGCAGGCGCTCCGTCCTTTCTAAGCGGACTGGAGCAGACATTAGAGGACTCAGTGAGGCGGGCTAACTGCTGTCCACTCCATCATCAGAGTAGCTTTAACACACAGTGGTACAACCCCCCCCCCCCCCCTCCGAACAGTGTAATGACCAGCTGCCTATACCTGAAGATTGCCCATACCAGTTCAATGTTAAATCCAGGAGAGATTTTTTATAAGCCTTTTAAAAAGTGCATTACAAGTTGATTATTTGAATGTACAATATATTTACAGAGTTAAATGAGTGGTAGGGTGACTTTTATCCTTTGATGAAAACAGCAAGGATGCAGCGCAGTTAAGCCATATCCCTGTAATTAGATCTTGCCTTCTGCTGGATTGTGGTTTTTAAAACAGGAGCACTCCACTATAAACTAGGAAAGCTCTAATCTACACTGCTTCCTAAATCAAACCCATCATGTACATAAACTCACTGGAGGGAGGAGAAGAAAGCTAAGATTAGAAGCACAAAATCAGGACAATGTGGGTATTCTTTGGCTAGCATGGAAATCATTACTCATATCAAACTATACTGATTTGACTTTTTTAAATAGAAGTATAAAGACACAAGAAATTAATATTCAAAATGAAGTTTGTAATCCAATTGCATTTAGATTAAAAACATGCATTAAGACCAAAGAAGGACATTGGTATTTTTGATCATCAGAATTTGGGTCATTCGATTATTTATTTATTTATTTTTTATTAATAACAGTAATCTAATTTTTAATCAGTAATAAGAAATAACGATAACGATAATCTGGTCTGTAATCTAGTTGCAATGGGCCAGATAACCATTTCGTGTTGTATAATTTGCTCGATGCATTATGTGTGGTGTGAAGAGAAATGAGAGTCAAATATACACATAGAGATTGCCCGTTTGTTGACTGATGGTCTTACTTGGCTGCAAAGAGGTTGATAAGAACCTTCTGTGCATGCCCATGAAACTTCCCACTCTTTGCACGTGTGTGTATGTGAGTGTGTTTGTGTGTGCACGCTTGGTCGTGGCCCCAGGAGAGACAGATGTTCTGCTGCTGACCGCCTTACTGTCTGTGCGGCCATTGTGGTGGACGGCCATCTAGCAGACGCGCATGGATCGGACAATCCAGTTGGCCCTGAGACAAAGCCAAAAGGATCCTATTGTCAAGGGCCTGTCTAATTATGGAAATCTTATTAATCTATTCAGCAGCAGTCCACTGACAGCTTTTGTGTCAGCCCGGGATTTATTGAGGGACCTGTGTGAGCTGCATCCTATTGTGGGAGTTCGTGATGAAGACAGTGGTGTGGCACTCCTCACGGCTTTACTTCAAGGAGGCCTGAAATTTAAATTGAGTCCACTTTGCCGGGCAACTTGTTTTTTTAAATTTGCTTTATAAGTGGAATACTTTGGAGTTGATTGGATTGTGATTGTATTACAATTAGTTGAATTGTGATTGGCTTTATATGTGACTGAAGTGCCCTCGAAGTGCCTTGAGATGACATTTGTCGTGCAATGAGGTCATTGAAATAAATCTTAATTGAATTTTACTACATTCTGATTTGAAGGTGTTTGCGGTCTTACCTCCCATGATCTGATTAGCTGCCTACAGAGTCACAGAATCTCATTTGATTGTGTGAAACCAAAGTAGCTTTTTGCCCATAAAGGCTGATATTACTCTTGACCGTTGTGGTTTCCAATAAATGAAATATCAGTGGGTGAAGTGAAACGTTATCTTGGCAGGAAGTCCTGAGATCGAGGGCTCCAGTGCCGTTTCACAGCTCCCCTGAGGTTGCTTTCCCTTAGTCCCTTCCCGGCACTTTTGTTTTCCCTGCCCCGAGGAACAAAACGGACATGGTTGCAACGAGCCTTATGGGACGGTGTGCTATTAAAGTGTGATGATTGTGAAGGGGACGCTTGTAAACAAGAGCACTGTGGATCAATCCAATCAGGCTCTATTCATATTTGAGCTCCACCCCGCCATACAACAGATCTGAAAAAAACTACCAGTGCCTCCACTCTGTTATCCACCTCCACACAGAGGGACAAATCTGTTTAAACAATATTCCTTCAAGAAAAGGTAAATATAAATTTAAAAGAAGAAAAAGAAAATGTGCATTAAAATAAAACAAAAGGAGGATTCAACAATTAATTCAAGTGTACTGCAAATTGTTTTAATACAAGCATGAAGACATCATGGAGATCTTTAAAAGTTCCAGAAAGGATTGTGTCCAATTTAAAAAAAAATCCTGGCTTGTGTTGTTGTGCAAGCTTCTTGGGAAATAGGTTTCAACTTCAGAAACAGCCACGGTTGAGAAAATTGCTTGGACGTGTTGCAGTTACAGCACAAAGCGTACTGACACAGGAACAAGGGTTAGAAGTTGCATTAAAGTGTTTTAAGTATCACAGACTATTTTTTTTGCTGATCAATCACAAAGTTGTTGCTGCAATGACTGCATCAGTTGTTATGTATTCAGCTAGCATAAAGTGATCAATAAGTTACCAGATGGAACTCAACCTTGATGGTCATAAATATGTAGAACAAATGAGCTCATTCTTCAGCAATCTTTAAAACTACTGTTCAGTTTGAACAAAAATATTCTAAGAAGACTTAAAAATAAATGTTAAACATTTAAACATGCAAAGCGACAGCACAAAGCATATCAGAATTTGTTATTAATGTTGATCTTGATTTGTTGTTTAATTATCTTTTTAAATATCTTTTTTTGCTTGAGTTCACTGCGATTTATGACACTAATATCAAACAGGACATTCTGTCTGAGCTGTATGCTGTTGCACAATGTCAGCCAGTCATGAAAATACCAATCTAAAGGGCAAGCCAGCTATTACACTGTCGGTGAAGACAGAAAAAAATGGTTTTGGGACATTCTCAATATGAAATTTACATTTTAGAGCTCTTCTACAGTTCTAGCTGACGGTACTGGTAATTGACTCCATATTTCCGCAAGTATTTCACCATGTTAAGATACACATTTATAGTCAATCAGATGTTGACCAGCTTCTGTTTTGGAGGCAGGGGGATTGTATAAAAGCTGTTAGAGGATGTCTGCCCTTGAGTGAAACCACACTGAACACAACAAAAAGTAATCATTGCTTATTCTTGTCAGAAATGCATGTATACGATGGTCTGACCAAAATATTCTAAAATATAGCATCACACCTACCACTAACACACCTAAATAGTGCAGCTTGGGATCCAATCACTAGTCTATGTTGCGGAGCCTTAGTGCTCTACAAATGCCCCAATAGCCAATAATTAGAGCACAGTAGCATCTGTCGCACCTCAGTAAACAACACACAATCCTATGCATCTGACATAAACAGCGGCCCATTGAAAAGGGAAACGATAGCTGAAACACTAGCTTTACTCGACTGTGTCTGTAACTACGCAGAGTGATAATGTGGACACTGAACAACAGCGATCATTGTATATCAGCCATGCATAATGGTGCATTGATAGGGAAAAATGATTATAAATCAATGTGTCAGTCAGGGGCCTCCTATCACTCATATGAAACACAATCCCGTGCTCCCGCTCTGCCTCTCTGTTCCTCTGGCTCATCTGCTCTCTCTTTCATGGCCTTAAAAAGATGTAATAACAGAAGAGTGCAGGAGCTCTGGGCTGGAGTTTTCACACCTGCTGCCCAGAGCACAAGCAGACGCAGCTCTTTTCAAAAACGCATTGCTAGTCCAGTCCCAGGAGGAGCGAGCCAATCTCCTGCAGTGGCATTGAGGGATGTCCTTTATCTGTGTGTGTCTCTCTTCCTCTCCCTTTCTCTGTACTTTTGTCTTTCTGCGGAAACAGCGATCTCTACACCATGTATCAGAATGACAGTTTGACTTAGTCCTTTTTTTTTCATCTTCCTCTGGGAATGTTCCACTCCAGCTGTCAGAAGAGTTTTTGTCAGTGTGTGACGCTAAGATTTTTTTATTAAAGGAAAAGGGCAATGTGGCAAAATAGTTTGAAAACAAGCAATTAATTAGTTAGAGAAAATCAAACTAATCAGTGAAAACCAGAGTAACAAATTTGTATTCACCTATTCATCAGTGAGAGACAAATAGTCAGTATCGTTACATCTTGTTATTTGGCAGAGTGGATGGAGAGGAAAAGCAGCCAAACTACCTGGTGGCATTTGTTAGGCATTGATTAATTGACAAATGTGTTTAGAATTGCTAATGATAGTGCAGCAAAAGGCACTGTCGTATCTCAGTGTGCTCATTTTATGGCACTTTTCGCAGCACTTTCCAAAACCAGAAAGCCTTGGGAATAATTGCTGGATGCGTCATTTCATGCTCGTAATTTTAGAAACAACTCCCCATCCCCCGTGCCTGCTAACGCTCGTCCCCAAATGGTGAAAGCCCATCCAACCCACCCCCCCACCCCTCACTCTTCCCTTCAAGAAAAACAGGGTCCCTATTTTCTGTGACTGCAGGCTGGCTTTAAGTCATTGTGTCCACTAATATGTCAAACAACAGCTGTCCTAAAGCTCTGTGATGACCAGTCGGCCCTTCCATCTGTCTCACGCAACCATGCTCTCACTCTGGCTCTATCCTTTTTTGTCCAATCTCCTTTTATTTATGTTTCTGCCTCTCTACTATCTTTATTTCCCTCATTCTCCATGAGCATGTTGCATTCCCTCCTTTTTGTGCAAATCCTCTGACCCTTCTGTGCTTCTAGTTTATGTTCTCAGCGCATGGACACCTCTGGGACTTGCTGTTTTCTGTTAGTACAAGTACAAATTAGGGAATGCTCAGTGTGTTCAACAGTCAGACGCTGCTCTCTGGCAGTGCATTTTACAGTATGATCGCCACACTGCAAACACCTGAAATAATTAAATTATTCCTCAAGTGCGGTCGTCTCGATAATTAGCTTGTATGAAAAACACATTGTATTGTCTAGCTGAGAATTCTGCTGCCTCAGGAATCTAGTGAAGTGTTGCCATCCAAATGAGTTTCACCATCCTGCCTCTTAATTGGACCCTTAATGGGAACGGAGGCCTTCTTAATGAGCTGATAAACCCTTTGAGACGCAGAACACTGGGTCCATGGACACACTGGGGCCTGGGTCCCTAACCCCTTCTTTTCTTGTAGACACATGCAGTCATACTCACACATGCACACAAACAAATACATTGGAGGCTAATTAGGGGCCATTCACACCCACACTAATGATCCTGGCTCTTATTCACTCACACTTTAGCGAGCTGTGTGTTTACTCAAGGAGCGCACAGGGCCCTTCACCGCACCTCTCACACCACTCTGCCTACAATGGGGATAGACGCCGGCACAGCTCTCCAGCCCTCTCCTTCAGGGGGCCAGAGTCAGATCAATTTTTTTTTCTCTATTCACACTGCTCCATGACTTGGCCGAGTCATTTACAAAGACACTCACTCAAAGCATAAAAACAGACCCAGGGAGAGAGAGGAGAGGGGTCAGTCAGAGGAGAGCTATAAAAACTGCCAGATCTGGACTCTTGTGTGCAATGTGTCTGTGTGTATGTGTGTTGTTTTAAAAGAAAAGGTATCGCAACACCGGCGGGGGCCTCCAGCAACAAGAGTTAGGGCACTCTTGGGTTGGCGGCCTGGGACTGATTTAAGAGTGTGTTTGAAGTGCAGATTACAGATTCTTTGCACCAAATCCCTCCAGGAGTATCCATGGCCCCTGGAATCTCTCTCAGGTTTCTTCTTAGGTCCAGCCATAGCTGTTCACCCCAGCTTTAGGACCAAAAACTATGACCAGACACTCACTCTCAGGATCTAGATCATTGAGACCAAAAACATCGGAATATTCCCGATAAGAAAAAAACTTTGCATAGTGCACAGTGTTGGTATTTGTACAGAGGGGCTTGACTCTGCGCAACACCTGAAATGTCTGCTGTGGGAGTCAGAAGAAGCCATGGAAGCAGGAATTCCCACAAATGGGATTTCAACATGGAGGTGACAGTCTTCACATGTCCAGCACACACGCAAAGTTCGTCAAAGTTGGATTTACTGAGCAGAAACATGACTACAGTCTTTAACTGAAAGACAGTGAGCTGTAGTGTCACCAGCAGACACAGGGGAGAGTTTGTGTGTCACTGGCCTGAGAGTAAACAGCGTGACTACCTAACACCGCTGTGTGTGCTCATATGGGCCCTCCATCTGCAAACGCACACTGGCAGGCTGTTCTGAAATTATTTCAACTCTGTGGACACCAGCAGAACAGAGCTACCCTACACATGAACACCATCCATTTGCTAAATGGAGAAAACTGCCCCTGCAAGTTGTGTTGATACAAAACAGGGGAACAATTATGTGACAAAGGCTATTGTTCATAGTGAAGCGCTCTAAAATATTTTTTTAAGAACCAGCAGTGGGCTTTCTGTGAAGGCATGCTAACTATTCCACCATCAGATGTGACATTCTTAGATGTGCCGTCCACTTCGGCAGCATTTAGTGCATTCAGTCAGCATGGACCATCAGGGAACAGGGAGCTGATGGAACAGGCATTTCAATAGAAAGTTGGTGGGAAAAAATCCCAATCATGCATACTCTTGCAAAATATTGGTCCTTCAAATTTATCTTAACTCAGACAAACTGTTGTGAACAATTTAACAACAATTATTCATAAATCAACCTAACCACCAGTGAGGGGACATGTTTCATAACACCGCGGGAGGCTAGCCATTTAAACTGCTATTTGGAGCATAATATGTGCAAAAAGCAAACGACCAGTAAACGTAATTGTGAAGCATCTGCTCATGATGCCTTAATCAGGCTGTTAGGATTCACACATCCACACACTTGCCTACACTGCTTCTGCTTCTTGTTTTCAAATGCAAATGACCAACATCTGATGCTTGTAATATCATTTTTGAGGCAATTCTTTTTAAATGAACCATTCTGTTTGATTTCTCTCTCTGTTCTTGTAACTTTTACGCCAATAATGCTTCTATGAGGAGAGTTAAAGAGCTGGGAGAAAGGGGTTCTTGAGCGTGAGGCCAGAGGCAGCCCCATGCTGGCTGGCAAACAATGCTGTTTTGGAGAGCCAGAGGACTGGACTCCAATGAAACCTGGTGGGAGGGTTCACAGAGGGGAAACCAGCACTGGACACGTCAGTTATTAGGTCAACATTGTGGAGAGAAATGGAGAAAAGGGAGGGAGAGCAGGAGGCAGCATGTGTGGTGGAAGAGTCCTGCGCCTCACTACTGGTAAAATGACACTTGCAGAGCTGATGGGTTTCTGCTGTTTAAAACATCGTCCTTCCAGCCTCCCATGTCCCTCTTCTGTCCCCCTTTTGTGTCTACTTTCTGCTGATGAAACATTTAGACGGGGCCGGTGCCCAGGTTTAGCATTTCCACAGCACACGTCAAGGAAAAAGTCAAGTTTCTACACTAAGGCTGATTCTGTTTGCGTACTCCATAACATTGTGTTCACCTCTGTTTGTTTTTGAAAGGAGCGTTCATTGATTTAGACAAAGTCCAACTATGTCAAGTGAGGTTCTTTGATGTGTAGGGTAGAGAAAAAGAAGAGTGCAGCACTCACTATAGGGGACAATAGGACTCAGCATTCTGTGGAGCTGGTCTCGATAAGGAGGAATGCTGTTTCATGAATGCCAGCCAAGGTTAGCACTGGTTCGGCCGTAGTCCATCACTGGCATGAGCGTGCACTGACAACAGAATAGCCCTGGGAGAGGAGAGAGAAAAATAGAAAGAGGTAAGGCAGTTGTTGGCTGCAGCACAATGTTTGGGCAAAAACTAACATGTCAACCAGCGTTTTCAGGCAAGCTCACACAGCGCAAACACGTTCAAACACACAGATCACAACTGAACCAGAGTGTGATAGAGTTACGGACCAACCTGAGAGCCCTATCAGTGTGACAAAAACAGAATTCGCACTCACTCACCGTCTGCCAAATTCAGGCACACAAGGGCATTCATTACAGGGAAGCATTAAGCTGATTGTGAAGCTGCGTCCAGGCTCTAAAGAAGGCTTTCTAAATCTGCCTCACAAAAAGACTCATGCATACCATTGCTCTGTGCACTGGGGCAATAAAGACTGCATTCTTAAGACACCAAATACTTGTGAGTTGTATTAGCCGAATTCAGTGAAAAATGTTACCATGAAACAGTTTCCTGCTTCAGGCTCTTTAAAGAAATAACAGATGAGAATATCAGTTTCACTGCAATAATTTGAATAATATATTTTTTAAACATTTAAAGACATTACTTCAAATGTAAAACACAGCACTTCGTTTAACTAGAGCATTCTTAAAAACAAGTAGTCACAGAAATATGGCACAGCTATATATGATTATATTCAAGATTCCATTTTTAATCATTAGAAACAGTTACATCTTCCAGCTCTACTTATGTTGTTTTGTTCTGATATGAAGTTGCAGCCTTTTTTACAAATTATTGTTTTTTTTTTTACTTTCATTTATGTTTAATCTCCATTGTTAGTTAAGAAAATATGGTGGGGACATTTTATTTTTCTTTAACTGCTCCTCAATTTGCAGGATTCTAGCCATATACATGCATAAATATGTTTTATGAACATGCACCCTGTCTCTTAGAAGTTATGTGCTTTTATATGTATATCACATTTATAACACCAGAATTTGACTTAATGAAGCATCATTGTTATGGTAACACAAACTCTGTGTGCTTAAAACAACAAGTCAGTTACCAATATACATTCGCCCATGCACCGCTCACATGGAGAAGACATTATGCAATGACCACACGGCTGTCTCTGGGCACTAACAGGCTTCATATACAATGCTGTCCCCGGCTGTAGTCTTTCCCAATTCAAGTTATGGTCAGTTTTTAACATTTGTCCCTGACTAACAATCTATGTCATGGCATATGACTAACTGTTTCCTCTAAAAGCAAACAGATCTCTGGAAGGAGGGTGCGGAGTTGGAAGGTTTGGCTTGCTTGGGGAATGTCTCATGGTCAGTGGCCAAAGAGAAGAGCCGCTTCAAAATGCTCAGTTTCGGTCCTCCTTCAACTTCAGCATAGCAAAGTCAAACAGCAGGGAGAACAGCAGGCCATGACAGCAGATCAACACTTAGTGCAGAGAAGACAAGCGACCTTACCTATTCATGCCTGCATGTCCTCCATCAGATCTGAAAGCACTAGGATAATCCCTGGAGCAGAGCAGATCCGTGTGTGCACTGCTATGCTTTTTTCCACATATGGGACACAACTCTGCTCTCTCCCTCTTTCTCTCTCTCTCTCTCTCTCTCTCTCTCTCTCTCCCTCTGACCAGTGACAACAGAGTGAGCGCTCTGCTACCCTCCCCCATTGATCTCCCATCCCCCTCTCCCTCCCCTCCTCTTCTGTCTTTATGCTGAAAGTATTTAAGTAGGAAGAAGGAGAAAGAATAAGGGGAGGGCAGCAGGGAGGGTGGGGAACTGACCAATCCTCCTGTGAAGGAGAAGGGAAAAGGACACCCTAGAAGCCTGGACTCAGAGGACAGTGGACAGAGAGTTTTTGTTTAGAAGAAAATGACCACTATAAGTTGGGTGTAGCCCGGGACGATTAAGGAAAGTAAACATTGATTGTGGTGACAAGTCTCTAAGAGCAATATCTTATTTCTTCTCTGTCAGACTCAAACAGTCAATTGTGTTGCTTAATGAAATATTGAGTAATTTACAGGTTAAGTTAGGAAATAAGCACTCTAAAAAAATGTCACACTACTAGTCCGATACCTTTGTCTGTCAGACCAGTCTTGTTAAAGGTTGCCTTCCAAAAAATTCCGAAATGCCATACTCAGACTTTCACATCTTCTGAAGGAAATTCATTGAGACGTCGGAACAAAAAAACTTGGTCAGGCAAGCAGTCAGTTTTGAGGTATTTGTTGATTAATAGTTACCTCAACTGCTGACAGAACAACCCACGTGTCCTGTCCTCACAAAGCCCTGATCCTGAGCTGTCATTCGGGTTTTTACACTCACCAGTACAGGTCAGAGGTTTGAACAGGCCCATCTATTATTGTTAATTACTTTTGGCAGGTGGATTTAAAAATCACAACACAATATACGCCAATTCTATTTTGTTTTCTTCAGTTCTGGTGACCTTTTTAATCAATTTGTGATGATTTGGTTGATTTGTGTGTTTTTTCTCTATTTAGAATTTGTTTATGCCATATACAGTATGACTTTAATTAATCTATCCATATGCAATAAAATGAATCTGTTCTAAAAGATGTCACTTCACTACTATTAGATTTTTGTGTTTATATAAAAAAAAATCTGCATATAATTTAGTCAGAAATCAGCTGCAAAGCTTTTAAACATTAATACATTTTAAAAAAGTGTTTTTAAAATAAGTAATGGTAAGTTTTGTCCCTACTTGGAACTTCTTTAAACACAGTCGAATTCAGGTTTAGACAACAGACTTGCTGTTGTCATGTTTTGAACTGAGTAGTTCAAATATTTCTATAATGAACCTGCAAAGAACTGGTTTGGTTTTTCTCAGCCTGAATCACTTTAAACATTTATGTGAAGTGCAGTTATGTCCTCATAAATCACTACCATTCTCATCTTTTTAGGGATGTAACTTACTAATACCTATAGACCTCTTTTTATTAATAGTTTTGCCAACCTGATCACAAAACTTGTATTTAATAATAAAACAAGTATAAAAATAAATCTGATGTGGATCCATCCATTAATTATCTCTAACCACAGTGCCTGGAGCTTATCTTGGCTTTCATTGGGTACACCCTGGACAGGTCATTAGTCCATCAATATATCAGATGTGTTTATGATATAAAAGGATTCGGTTTTGTCATCCCACAGATTTCATGATCAAGTGCTGTTTGAGTTTAATTTTTAGTCCTTCACACAGCTGTCAGGCTGTTTTTAGCGCTACACTGAGGGCCAAATGACACAGTCATCTCCTCTTGTTACATGGAGCCAATACTCCAGTCGAGTTTCCCCTTTGCACTTACACACAGGCACTCACATGCACATGGTCCATCCCATAAATACATATAAAAGTTAGCACGCTCAGTCGGTGGGCTGCCTGGAAATAGAGTGCTTTTATGTTAGGTGTGTTGGGCATTTCATGCGCTTTTTCATGCCACACCATTGCAGAAAGCGTTTACCACGTGGCATGTGGACATGTAAAGAAATGTTAGTCTTATTTTCAACATTAACAGTGCAAGTCTCGTGCTGAGAACTTTGGCTGGAGTAACAATGAAAACCAAACAAATGAAAAAAAAGAAGTCTGTCTGTCATTAACTTCAGTAAGCTCCTTGCAAGCTCTCTACTCCAACTATTAGTGGAGTGTAAGCACATCCTTTTGTTGTTTCAGTCGATAATTCAAAGCCCGCATGATCACTTAACTGTTTCTCATATCAAAATGAATGCATCTCAGCAGTCAGTTTTGAAGCTTGTTGAAATGGACGAAATTTACTCATATAAGACCAAGAAAAAAATATGCAAACAACCAAAATTTCCTTTCAAACACATGGCTTTTGAAATGTCTCATTTGTAACTTGACATGTGTTTTGAACTATTTTAGGAGACGCTCCAGTGGTCAGTGACATGGCTCAAATTGGAATGTAGGGCAATAAACCCATTGAAGGAAACACCACAACTCATTAGTGTGGATACAAAACTTAACACACACCCATTGAGTCCCAGTTCAGAACCACAATTAGACTCCTTGATGTTTTTCCTAATATGGGATCCTCAATAGATTTGCTAATGGTGTCTCTCTGGGGGGTTAGGTGAGGGTACGGTTGAGTAGGGATGTTGAAAGCAGACAACTGGCGCTCGCTCTATCTCTCTGTTGCCTTATTAGTGCTGAGACAGCAGTATGTGGTCACAGGCAGCATGCTGAGTCCATCACTGCCGCAGCACAACGATGGGGCCTCAGGAGTCAAAGTGAGCCAAAATCTGAGATTGATATTGAAAACCAGTTACAATGAGAGTGGACAGGTACTGCCTGAGCAGACTGCCATCGATATCAGGTTTTACAGATTCCCTTCACAAACAAAATCTCTACACACTTGTGACAGCTCAGACTCCTAAACACTTAGAGGACGTTCACCGCAGTTGATGTGGAGCTCAGGATTTGCATAGTTGCCTCGTGGTTGAAGGTTAAAGTAGCGTCAGGCACATAGAGCAGCCTTGATGACTGAAAATGGCACCCGAAGGGACCAAGGTAACATGTCAACATGCGAGTGTTTGACCTCAAAGTCGACACCTCCGTTCAGCAAGTTATTTGCCCTATGATGAACTACTGTCTGTTAAATGGTCAGCCTTCATTAAATCAAATGAAGATTAATCCATTGATGAATATGATTTAGATTTAATATGATTATCTTAATATATGCATGCAAAGAAGCACAGCTTTATGATGAGCAAAGCAACATGTGAATCTATAAAAAAAAGTACACTTTTTTTCCTATCAAGTTTGAAAGACAGAATGATTTGGCTTGTCACATTGATCCTTTTATGTTTCAATGTTTATTTTAAGAATCTGTCATGTAAGTCACAGAAAAACTATATGTATGTGTACACCAACAAAAAAAAAAAATCATCTGCAGTGGTCCATTAGATAAACCCCTCCAAATCTGAAAGTTCTCCCTTTTTTGTTGGAGATCCAGATGTTTCCTTTTGTCTGGGCTAGGATTTTGTCATCATCTCATCTTATGTTTTCTCATGTAATACAAAGGATGGAAAGAAATCTACTTATATGGGTACAACCAGCCCCTGAATGATCACTTTTGATGATTCACATGTAACATTCATGGGAACAGAGGGATCCAACAGAGGGATCTATCTTGTGACTGATTATCTGTATCTTAGGTAGGTCTACATGGCCACTTAAGAGTAACTACACTTTCAAACTCAAACCTATTCACTTGACAGAAAAACATCAAAATTCCAGACAAATGGTCACATGTTGTTATTCAAAACACATCACACGTGATTTCCTGTGCTCCTTTACCTGGGGAAACCTCTCAGGCTCAGTAAGCCTTAACTTTCTGGAAAAAAACCATGACATGCTAGTAAATAAGAGCCATTTTACAATGTGCATGTAATAAGCTGTAATATATGTGTATCGTCACTTTTTGGTAACCACAAGTATTCTGAAAACGAGCTTATGCATGTGGTTAAGTGTGTGTGGAGTGATAATCAGTTCCAGGCTTCCAAGTCTGACCAATATCATTTCATTAGCGCAAGCAGCGAGTGCTCAGGCTTTGGCTAAGATTAGGGCAGACAGAGAAACTCTACCCCGAACCCAGTTGTCCTGAGGAGGGTTGGTTGGGCAGTGGAGGAGGAAAAAAGTGTGTGTATGTGTATGTGTAAGAAAAAGACACGTAGGGAGGGGGTCAGTGGGATTATTAGTGGGAGGTTCAGCTGTTTATTATTCCAATTCTATCTCTAACAGCTGAAAATTGGAGAATTAGGCGGCAGCCCCAAGGAACCCAGGGATCAATGCATAGGGGTTAAACCCTGTGGCATTGCTACTCACGCTGACAGCGATCACAGATACTGACGCAGCACATAGACACACACCACAGAGGTCATTCAGAAAACTTAACAGACACATCAGATTTACCGCTCTGAAGTGATAAGACACTCAGACTTCACAGGTCGATGAAAAGCTTCACACTTCAGATGTGGCTGAGCCTTTGAAAAACATGAGGACGCATTAGTCCTTGCTAATAGCTTAAAACTTTAAAGAAGGAGTTATGTGGCTACAAAGTCTTAAATAAAACATTAGACAGACACATTTCTATATCTGAAGTGTTAACGAAAGAAATGTTTTTAACGTTGTCATCATGCTGCTAGTTATGACCCATGGCCTGCATGAGTAGAGGAAAAGGAGCTGAATTATGAACCATGTTCAAGTATTCCTACACACACATCACCTCACTTTCTCCAATCCATACATAACTGGCACAAACCAGTGCTGTTGGAAGGTGTGTGGTCACGTCTATGCATTTTGTTAATCTGCAAAGGGACATGTGACATTGGGAACTAGGAAACCTGACCTTTCCACTCAGTGAAGACATGCAGACTTATGGCATGGAAACAGGACTTTGGACATTTGAAGGTAAGGAAGTTTAACATGTTGAAAATGTACCTCTAAATGTATAAGATTACAATTGGTCTCATGTTTTGTCTTCACACCGTGTTTGGATAGAAAACAAAATAAAGACAAGGTGCCAATGGGATTTTATTTTGATTGAGTTTAATGTTCATATCACGTCAGCTCTCTGAGCGGCA